TATTTAAAGAACCGGTCGAGCATTTATCAACGTGCATTAAAGATACACGGGAATTGATTGTTAGATTGCAGAGCATTGAACATGTCCCCACAAATTTGGTGCTGATTACATTAGATGTGCAGAGTCTTTACACCATAATCCCCCATGAGGCAGGCATAGAAGCAATGAGACGAACACTATTGGAATCATCTTACTACAAGGGTCCTCCCATTGAGTTTGTCATGGAATTGCTCATGCTAACCCTCCAACTCAACTACTTTAGATTCGAAACCCGATGGTATATGCAGTGCTCAGGAACGTCGATGGGAGCGGCGATGGCGCCGATGTATGCGAATGCATACATGCATACTTTTGAGAGAGAATATATCTTACATCCATATGGAGAACGAATTGTACAATATGTGCGTTTTATTGATGATATTTTGATTTTGTGGAACGGCTCAATTACCGAGGCTGAGCAATTCGTGAAGAATATTAATGGCCTCTCTAGTCCTGTTAAAATCACGGCAAACATCAGTGACACTATGGTACAATATCTGGATTTGGAGATCTTTATTAAAGATAACAAAATAGAATATCAGCTTTATTCTAAACCTACTGACAGAAACACCATATTGCACTTTGAGAGTGCACATCCGGAACACAGCAAAAAATCCTTACCATACACTCAATTTCTAAGAGTATTTCGGAATAATTCATCGGCTGAACGGGTTGAAAAACAAGTAGATAGTATGTACAATAAATTTCTTATGAGGGGATACAATCGGTACATCCTCGATGCAGCTTTAGAAAAAGCTAGAATGGAAATGGTGACCACTGTGAATGTACAACAACAAATAAGGACAACAAGATTAACTTTCCCTATGAAATTCAATTCTGCTAGCACCAAACTTGTTCAAGCTGTTAAGGGGAACTGGAATATTTTAACAGGAGATCCATCTTTACCTACAATATTCTCTCAAAGTCCAATGATATGTTACAAGAGGGAGAAAAACTTGCGAGACTTGTTAGTCCGCACTGATCCAGAACAGAGTTATCTGCGGAATCAGAACAAGTTTCTCAATCCAGGTTGTTTCCGTTGCTTAGGATGTGTGACTTGTGGGCACCTTATTCCCACAAAGTCTTTTTTTCATCCACACACCCAGAAGAAATATACAATTAAACAACGCATCTCCTGTAAAACAGATCATGTCATTTATAAATTGTCATGCCCATGTGGACTACATTACGTTGGGAAAACTGACACACAATTGTGCGAAAGAATAAGGGGACATCGCTCAAGCATACGTACGGCGATTAGAGATGGCAGTACAGATAAACCGGTGGCCCGTCACTTCTTTGAACACAAACATCCACTTACAACATTGAAATGTATAGCCATTGACCACATTCCAATATCTAGGAGAGGAGGAAATCGCTCTAAGGCATTGTTGCAGAGAGAGACATTTTGGATTCGTGAATTAAATACTATGGCCCCTATGGGCCTTAATGAAAAATTGACATTCACATCGTTTATCTAAGTGGTTTGATGAATTTCCGTATTGATTTTATTAATTTTTTCTATTTATAAACATATTTGCAGCATATATTCCCAGTATATCTAATAGGGATTAAGATATAGGCATAAAATAAGGATTTTTTTGTGATTTGTGTTTCACAAAAGAATTTTTCAGGGAGGGTGGCTGTTTCCACTCCCTAGTATCTATCCATAATTGAATAGGGACATTATTATATATAAAGAATAGTTTGTCTCTAAATTTTGACACTTGGGATAATGCTGTTAAACAGTAGAACATATGTTATTATATTTGATGTTTAGGTAGTGTTTTTATATCATATAATACTGTAACCCCATAGCAATTATGTGTGTTCACTTCCTCAATCATCTGATAGAATGTATATATTTGCACCTGTCACTTTAACACATCGTTATTGTCAGCACTTTTATCTTAAGCACTTGCACTTTTTGTATATGAGGTAAATTAATTTTTATCCTTTACCTCTCTTTATCACCATTTTCTAGTCTGCATTACATTATGCACTTACACTAATAGATTAATTTATTTTCACTGCATTAATGAAAATATGAGAATGTGAATAGTCAAACTGGCTATATTTGTTGCCAGTTTAATATGAACACTAAGATGACATCACAGCACTGGGCACTTTTAATATGCTACTACGGATCGCTGTTCCTAGCGATCTATTTACAGGTTGCCAGGGTGACGGGTAGGTTGCGTTCTGACACTGATAGTAGACGAGCGGAGTGATACACACACGCATGCGCTGTTTCTAGCGATCTGTTCACAGGTTGCTAGGGTGACGGGTAGGTTGCACTTTGATACCGGAAGTAGATGAGCGGAGTGACACGCATGCGCACTGGGGAACAGACCACGCCGGCACACAGGTGGAAACGGCTTGGTAAGTTAGTTTTTTCTTATTTAAACTGAATGTTATGTCTTGTCATTTATGTCCTGATGAAAGTCCACGACGATGGACTGAAACGTTGACCTCTTTGAACAACTGGATTAAAAGGTTTTTTTTGAAATTCTTTTAGTACATTGAAAGTCCTTGAGTGCTGACTTTTTTCTAAAACTATATATATATATATATATATATATATATATATATATATATATATATATATATATATATATATGTGCTCGGTCCAACCATTGATATGTTGATGCAAAGTTGTGTAGTGACGCAACATGTTATAGGACAAAGTCGGTTTAAGTGTGCCGGAACTGACGTATGTGGTAGGCCAGTAAATAAACTGGGCCCCCTCAAGTAGAATATCATAAATAAAGGGTGTGGGGGGATGCAGATCACTAGACCAATGACGGTGAGGTAAGCCAGGGGGGAGTCCCTTATATTTGTCCATATGCCCCTCCCACAACTCCAGGCAAAGCCTTAACATTTGTGCTCAGTGTAACCATTGATATGTTGATGCAAAGTCATGTAGTGACACAACATGTTATCGGACAAAGTCGGTTGAAGTGTGCCGGAACCGACGTATGCGGTAGGCCATAAAACCTGTATATGGTGAGTAAAATCTTTTTTTTTTTTTTTTAGGGAAAAAAAACTAATACTATAAATGTACCACACATATTTTATCAAGGAATGTTTTTACAGACAGAAGTACATCTGATGTCACCACCTCTTCACTAAAGGTGTTAGTTTTTGTAGTCTGTGTCTAATGATTTTGCAAATCCTTTAATTTCAAGAGTTTACCACAATAGGGTAATTATTTACCTCTTCACTAAAGGTGTTAGTTTTTGTAGTCTGTGTCTAATGATTTTGCAAATCGTTTCTTTTCCAGATTTTACCACAATAGGGTAATTATGTCACCTATAGGGTTATTCACTAAACTCAGAATTGACTTCAACAGATGAGTCTTGAGTACCAATGTATGGTTGACATACATTGATTTAACTGGCAGGATTTGAGCATGTATTTATGACAGCTTTTTATCCAGCTCCTCTAGTGTCACTCTGGGAGGACTGAACTCCATCTCTGCAACCCGTTTTCTTTTGTGCTGGAAACCATGCCCATCTTTTGATTTTGATTTGAACCCCAGGATTTTCTATTTACAAGACAGGCACTTTAACCAACTAAGCCACGGTGCCGCAGTGTTTTATCCTGTGCCATTCGGGGACCTATTGCTTTCTTGTTTTCAATAACTGCAGGAATTTGTTCAAGATTCTGAATATCCCACATTCTTAATGTGACATCCTTTGATGAGGATCCATTGCTTATTTGCGCTTAGCGACACATCCAGTATCCGGTCTTTGTGACCCTTTAAGGCAAGCTTTGTGCTTGCTGCATCTATATCCCATAATGGGCCCCAACTAAAAAAATTAAGAAAGGGACCAAAAATGTTGGAATATCCCTTTAAGGAAAGAGCATGTAAGAATAGCCCCCCAGATGTTGCTGAACTACAACTCCCATGATTCTCTGGCTATCTGTTTCATTGAAAGAATCATGGGAGTTGTAGTTCAGCAACATCTGGGGGGCCGCAGGTTGGACAGGCCTGAGCTAGACCATAGATTCTAAAATTTCAATTGCAAAAATACTAAAGATCGGAATATATCACACAAGTTAAAATGGTATAAGAATCTATAAAGATGATACCAACACTATGCCAGTGCTAATCTGATAGTAAAATCATTTATTTAATGCTAGGACATATCTGAAATGGTAAGTCTACTAAATGTCTAAAAAGTGAGATTATGTTTTACCACTCAGAGTAGAAGGAATTAATTATAGAAATCAGAATTTGATTGGATATATAATTACAAATATAGAAGCCAGAGGCTAGCTTACTTGAAACAAAGTATCTAGTCAAATGCTACATCCTGATAACATTGTATATTTAATGAATGCAGCAAATATTAATTTGTTGCTGGGCTGGATAAATTGTGAGAGTCAACAGTAAAATGTAAAGGTTTCTAATAGATATTATCCTACATCACTTACTTAAATGTACTAGCTCCTAAGTATTGCTGCAAATAAGTCAAGATTCACAGACAGAATTCACAGATAGAATGTGGAGAGATATGTGGTACCTCCACACCTTTAAACCTAAAGTAGAACGAGTCTGGCTACATAAACATAGAGAGCTACGATACTACTTTGTCGTCTTATAATGCTAGGGAGACACTGCCTGCACCACGACCGACCCGACCGGGACTGCCTGTTGCCTCAGGATATGAGATTCCTACCCACTCATCAGACCTAAGGTGAAAAAGTATACCTAACCAAGATCTCTGAAAATGATCAAGCTAGGACGTTAATACAGTGGGGATTGATCAGCCCATCAGCTCCGAATGATACTACATCATCTTTGGAACAATACTAAACCAAGCTAAAACACAAAACACCCTCATGTGCCCGTATATGAATAGCTAATTTGAATGTCTTAATACAGTGTTGATACAGTCGGGCAGGATAGTGGCCGTCAACCCCGCTCACCAGCTGAATAGGCCTTGTATAGAACGATGAAGGGTATCGCTCCAAGGGACCAAAACTTGGTGTGCAAGCCTCGCCTCGAAACCAGTACTCCCTTGTGCACAGGACCACAGCTTCTAGTTGCCAGGTAGGTGCAAGATCAGCTTTAGTATTAGGACATTCACAGTTAAATCGTCATGCAGAACAGAACACCCACCTGGCTTTTAAATTTCTAAGAAGACCAGAGGGGAGTGGACCCAGCTTGTCTCAAGTAAGTGTCAAATAGTACTAAACCATTTTGACAGGTTACACTGAGAAGACTGGACACAGGGGCTGGGTCCGCCAAGCAAGACAAAGGTTAGTTGGTAAACTGCTCTAAAACGGTTTGATTATTTAGTGTGGAATGATGCCTGGCTATAGTGATTATGTGCTTGGAGTTTATCACAATTACTGTAAATTTTCTATGCATTTAACAACTTTTGTTTGCTAAGTAACTAATCATCAGAGAACATTACAGAATGCACATTTTGCACACAGGATAGAATTTGTTTAGCCTTGATAGATGCCCTTATTTCTGAAATAAATCTGGCATAGGCTTTACCAAGCAATGTCCTTATGAAGTGGCTACAAACTCTCCGATCTCTGGTCAATATTTCCGTGACATCAGAAGCCCTTGTTTTCAGAACCATTTGAAAGATGGAAAGCACATGTTTCTTACGAACAACCTAAACAGGAAAAAAAATGCAGATTAAACTTTCTTGATATAAAATCAATGTAACCAGGCATAACATTCATTACCAAGTCTGCAGCTTTATTCTTTAATATATATTTTTTCCCACCAAAGTGTGTTGTAATTGTCAAGCATCATTTTTCATTATTACTTTGAATATGTAACCATAAAAAATCAATTCTTAATGATAATCAGAACATGCATAGTTCATGAACCATTCCATCACTCATCCATAAATATCATTAAACATTCCTAAATACACGGCACTGTTGCCACCAATAAGTGCAAAATCTGACATAATCGGCATATAAATGCAAAAGAACAACACCCCAACCCTAAACAAGCAATGGGTGTGGCTGCACAATCTTCCTCCAGGGTCTCTCACCGCTACACTCCCGTCCTCTACCATCTCAATGACACAAGCCAGACACACAGCTTGGCCCTCGTGTCCAGAGAGCAGCCAGTAGGGGTCATGGCGATAATGGACCCGGTCATATGCTACCAGCTCTGCCATGAAGCCAGCAGTCTGAGACCCGATTCGAAAGTAGAACGCGGCACAGTGAGGGAACAGCGCCTTCCAGAGCAAAGCCTTTCCCGCCTTTTTACCTCAAGCTGTTTCTCGGCCGCTGATTGGTGGGAACAGCCATAAACGTTCCAAGTATATTGTCTAATTAGGTTCACTGGGGGAGCAAGTGCTGCCAGTATTCACCTGGGAATTCTTTTCGTTTGGGTTTACAGGGCTCCTGGCTAAAGGGACGACAGGATGTGTGCATGGGGTGTATTGGATTTGAGGATAGTTTGCTTTTAAAGTTAAGATGGTCTTTAAGTTTTTAGTCTGGGAATGTTTGGGGGTAGTGGTCTTTAGGATTTTGTTGTAGTTGGGTTGTTTAGTTTAGAGATTTGGGCTGTTGAAATTCAGGGGCTCTTCAGAGCTGATGGGTATTTCGTATTTGGGGTAATGGTTAGATGTGGAGGGTGTCTAGGGTTGGGGATTTTCATGGTTAATCAAAGAGTTTCAGGAAATGTGTGCTTAATTTATATGTATATAAAAAAAAAAATTTGTCTTAAAGGGACACTATAGTCACCCAGACCACTTCAGTGCAATGAAGTGGTCTGGGTGTCAGGTCCCTCAGGTTTTAACCCTTCACATGTAAACCTAGCAGTTTCAGAGAAACTGCTATGTTTACATTAGGGGTTGATCCAACCTCTAGTGGCTGTCTTCCTGACAGCCGCTAGAGGTGCTTCTGCGACGTTGGCTGCGAAATATGCATCCAATGTGCAGAACGTCCATAGTAAAGCATTGAGAAATGCGCATTCGGCTCCACTCAGGAGCTGGTGGGGGCGGAGAGGTCACCAGCACCAAGGGAGCCCGGCGCTGGATTAAGGTAAACTGCTCAAGGGATTTTAACCCTTTCAGCACCACGGGAGGGGGACACTGAGGGTGGGGGCACCCTCAGGACACTATAGTATTGGGAAAACTGCTTTGTTTTCCTGACACTATAGTGATCCTTTAAAATATTTTTATCTATTTGGAGTGTTTTGGGGGCTAAGTAAACTTTACGGTGCTGATATATTTGCACAATTGTATAAATTGTTTTAGATAAATAATCACTGTTTAGCGCCTACATCACTTAAAGAATTGAATTCACTAAAAGATTTAATAAGACTAAGTTGGGAATATATGTCTTATGGTCAAACACAAACTTGACAAAAGGTAGAACATGCACAGTCAAGTTTGTTATGGATGGTACAAGACAATGGGAGAGAGATCTGATAAGCTTACAAGGGATCAAGCGAACAAGTGGTGGCACAAGAGGAGAGGACAAGTACAGTAGCCGGGGAGAAGGCCAGAAGGGTAGGGAAGGTATTATGGTCCAGGTATGGTTGAGAGGAGTGAAGGGGGGGAATTCTTTCCTTAACTGTTAAATATTGTCTGTAAAGTAGCATCCAAAGCTATCAGCTAAAAAGTTAGTTTGGGGGTGACTTCAGCAGCGCAAAGGAGAGAGTTGACGGTATCAAAGAGTCATCTAAGAAAGTGGGATCATGAACTAATTAGAAAGGAGAAATATGGTTGTTTAGCAAAGGTGAGGGGTACGCTGTATAAACACAAGATAAACTTATAACGGAGAGAGTCTGAGAAGATGTGAGACAGACTTCCTCCAGCAGCGTTTAGCTGAACAGGAACATCTCTGCAGGTAGAGGTTCAACTTAGAGTTCTGATGGCAATGCTTACCAGCATACCAAAAAAATGATTTCAGGGAATGTTCTAGACTAGAACATTGTAATGAACTAGATGCAATGAACAGAATATGAGGGAACAATCTCAACTGAACAAGTACATGGTTAATCCAGCCTCTAGTGATTTTCACAGTGAGAAGACTCCAGCGTCCATAGGACGGCAATAATGCGGCTTAATGCGCGCGGCTCCTGCCGCGCATGCGCATTCAGCCGATGACGGCAATAAGGAGGAGGAGAGTTCCCCGCCCGGCGCTGGAGAAAGAGTTAAATTTAACCCCTTCCTCCCCCAGGAGCCCGGCGGGAGGGGGCCCTGAGGGTGGGGGCACCCTCAGTGCACTATAGTGCCAGGAAAACGAGTATGTTTTCCTGGCACTATAGTGGTCCTTTAACCCCACTTAAAATCCCACCCCCCTTTACTCATTTTAAATAAAAATGAAACCCTTTCCTGCCAGTTGACCACTGACTACAGTGATCAAAATACAGATAACAGTATTTTACTGTGATCTGATTTTTTTTATCCCCTAAGGGTTAACTGTTTTTTTTTTTTTTAACCCTCAGGTGTTAAATTTATTTAATTAATATTTCAACATTATATATTTAGCTACCTGTGGTGGGTGGAAGTTATTGGGGAATTTAATGTTAGCCTATCTAAGGGTTAACAGTAAAAAAAAAAGTTTTTTTTAAAAAGGTTTAAGAAAATTGAAAAAAAAATGTTTTAATAACGTGTAAAATGGTTAAAAGAAATCCCACCCTCGTTTACTCAGTAAAATTATATATTTAGCTTGCTGGGTGGGAGTTAGTGGGAAATTATGGAATTTACTGTTAGGTTAGTTAGGGGTTAACAGTAAAAAAAAAATTTATAAAAATTTTAAAAGAGTAAAAAAAAGTTTTAAAAAGTAAAAACAGTTTACAAAAGTAACAAAATACATATAAAAATGGTCCTTACCACTAAACCTGGAACAAAGTAGTGAAAAAATGATCCCAAGCTAAAGTTCAAAATATGCCTTTTGAAATACCCCAGGGTGTATTCTTTAAAAAATGTTGTGTGTTTGTGGAGTATTTGAATAACCAACCAACTAAACTACTCCAAATTGGGACATGGACCCAGCATAAAACTTCAAAGTTTGAAAAAACTGGAATGGCTGTGTCTCAAATGTGCCCCTTCAACGTCCACATATAACTGGCAAAGTTACATATGGGGGTTTTGCTGTACTCAGACGACATAGCTGAGCAACATATTAAGTATTATACAGCTGTATCATACATAAGGTTTGCGAAACATACTGCGCAAACTCCCTCTGTATTTCAAAAAGGCAGAAAAAATGCTTATTACCACTACACTTGGTACAAGCTAGCGGAAAAATGATACCACGGTAAGGTTCAAAATATGACTTTTGAAAAACCCTGGGATGGCTTCTTTACGGCATGGTATACCTTTATGGTGTAGTTGGAATATGTAGCCTGCTAAAGTGCTCCAAAATGGAACATGGACCCATCAACACCATCTATGCAAATTCCCACTTAAAAACTTGAACTTGTCATGTCTCTTTTACAGCACTGTAACTTCACAAAATAGTGTCTAGATCATACATTGGGCATATTGTTTTACTCAGAAGATGTAACTGAGCATAATTTGAGGGACTTTATGACAGTGGCATAAACAGGGCTGTATTTACCTTGAGGCTAACAAGGCATTTGCCTTGGGCAGCACTTTCCAGGGGGTGGCAAAAAATGCCGCCTCAAATGCCCAGACAAATGCCTTGTTAGCCTCGTTTTATGGCTGCCCAAGAGCTGGCCACCTTTGGGCCCCATGAAGCAGACAGCCAGTTGTGTTTCGGACAGGCGGCGAGGGAATGCTGGTGCCAGGAGCCAGAATATAACATCAGCATGCAAGGGAGCTGAGCAGGAAGATCACAGCTCCCTCGCCGCCTACTTTGGCCAGACGCCTGCCCAGCAGCCCCACTGGACCCCAGGTAAATAATCCACCCAGCTCACAAAAGTAGGGCGACTGGGTGGATTTAAATAAAATAAAAAATAATAATTTGTTAGCTTTGGGGGAACATGTGTGTGTGTCTCTGTGAATGTATGTCTGTCTGTCATTGTGAGAGTGTGTCTGTCAGTGAGTTTGTGTCTGTCAGTAAATGTGTGTGTATACATCTGTCAGTGTGGCTGTGAGTGAATATTTATGTGTGTGAATGTGTCTGTCAGTGTGTGTCTGAGTAAGTGTGTCTTTCAGTGAATGTGTGTGTATCTGTCAGTCAATTTGTGTGTCTGAGTGATTGTTCGTGTCTGTCAATGTGTGTGTGCATCTGTCAGTGCATGTGTGAATGATTGTGTGTTTCTGCCAGATTGTGTCAAATCAGTGAGTGTGTGTATGTCAGTGTATCTGAGAGTGTGTGCTTGTCTGTGAGTGTGTGTCTGTCAGTCAAAATGTGTGTTAGTCTTTAACAGGAAGAGGTGTAGCCTTGGCAGGGAGGGGTCGGGCAAATTTAAATTAGGGGGTGGCTGGGTTCCGTGATGCCTAGGGCAACACCAATCCAAAATACACCACTGGGCATATATCAAGTGTAAGAAATACACTAACATCTATGTTAAAATTTGATTTTTTTTTCCTCACCACAAACATTGACATAAAATGGTGACAAGTTAAGGCACAATATATATGCCATATAAAATATCCTGAAGTGTCTGCTTTCTCAAATGGAAGCCCTTTGTGGGGTTATTTGAACAGTCACACTGTTATAATGTAACAAAATGAGACATAAGCCCTTCAAATCCATCCATGATAATTCTAACTATAGAAACTGTAATAGCCTTGTCTCTTGTATGGCATTGTAGCTTTACAGATAGTGCCAAAGGCATACAATGGGGGTATCGTTATACTCAGCAGATGTAGCTGATCATAATATGGGGTTCTGTGCAGGAATAGCATACACCAGCTTTACGAAATACACAAATACACATTGTTATATGTGTATATGCCAAGATAGAGAAAAACATGATTTTACTCCAATATTTAGCAGAGATTGGCGATGAAATGGCTACGTAAAAAGTATCAGAATAAATAGCCTGTGATGTCTACTTTATATAAACACAAACAGCAAAAATTGCTTGTGTCCTTAAGGGGTTAAACTATTCGGGCATAAGTCATTTTATTTTGTTGGTTATAATGCTTTTCTGGTTCATTTTGCACTAATAATTTAATTATGTTGTACTTTTTTGTTGTTGTTGTTTCTACACAATGGGACTTTGTGCAATCTCTAATTCAAACTTTAATTAAAATGTTATTTTTTTAAAGGATCACTATAGTGTCAGGAAAAACACTAGGTCATCCTTGGGGGACCCTCACCCTCAGGGTCCCCCTCCCGTGCCGCTGAAGGGGTTAAACCCCCTTAGCAGTTTACCTTAATCCAGTGCCGGGCTCCCTTGGTGCTGGTGACCTCTCCTCCCCCGCTGTCAGCTCCGGAGTGGAGCAGAATGCACATGCGCGGCAAGAGCCGTGTGCGCATTCTAACAGTCTATAGTAAAGCATTTCTCAATGCTTTCCTATGGACGTTCTGCACGGTGGATGCAAATTTTGCATACAGCGTAGCAGAGGCACCTCTAGCGGCTGTCAGTGAGACAGCCACTAGAGGCTGGATTAACCCTGCTATGTTTACATGTGAAGGGTTAAAACCTGGGGGACCCGGCACCCAGACCACTTCATTGAGCTGAAGTGGTCTGGGTGCCTGTAGTGTGCCTTTAATTACATATTATTTTAGTGGTCACAGAAATGTCAGCTGCTAAACTCCAGCTGTGGGCTAGATTTCCCACAATGCAGCTGGCCTAAGGAGTGCGCGCCAAAATGCCACCCGTGCGTGAAAGCAGCGTGCTCGCAACGTCACGTGTCCCACGTCCTCCTTCCTTTCCTCCCACGTGATACCTCTCGCCCAGTACGGTGACGAGCCGCACAAAAGGCGGGGCTCTGCGGAAGCACCGCCTCTTCCTGTTTTCCTCGGCGGAAGTTCCCAACACGTTGTTGAACAGCTCGCTCATTCAGGCTTCATTTTCTCGTCCTCCGTGAAGCTTCCGGGCAGAGAGGACCGCGCACCGACCGTACTAGCTGCAGCCATGGTGAGTACTCCGGGCAGGGTGTCATGGCGGCCTGCATACCAGCAGCATACCAGGCGCTGCCACAGTCTGGCGGGTGGGGAGGGTTAGTGTGTTCCTAACCAGGACAGGCTCCCAGTCTGTTACTATACGGGCCCTGTATGGCGGTTACCGTGCTCGATGGTTAGTGTCGCTTTAGATATTGTATCATTACATGTATCAGCCAGTCCACGTGCGGCTCCCCGTGCTGCTCCCCGTGCGGCTCCCCATGCTGGCATCTCGAGGACTCGGGTACTAATAGAGCTACAGCGTTACTGGGTCACCGGGCGGCAGCGTTACACGAGGGCTCAGGCTACAGAATGTGAACACTATAACGCGCTCTGAGAGTCCTGGGGCTCGGTAAATCCGTGTCTGGGTGTATTGTAGTATTTAGTTTAGGTCTCATTTTCGTATTCAAAGGTCTTCATATAGAAAGCTTTCCTCTATGATACATTAAGGGGAAAAAAGCTTATGACTTGTTTCCTTGGTAACTTTGTAAAACTTAAAAAAAATACGAAAATTGATATTTGCGCAGATAAAACACAATATTACACGGGTTAGGAGTGTAGCACTGTGAAAGACCTGCATAGTGATAGACGTAAAAAAAAATAACCGAAGTATGAGCAGAGCATGAAAGTAAAACGAACTTGTGAGGCAATGGGTAAATATTGAAGGCTATTTTATTGCAATGGATTGGGAGGTGTGGGGAGAACCTGGCAGTTAATTGCATTTTTAGTTTAATCACATATCAAATTCTTAAGGAATTTCAGAGATCCTTGCTTAGTACATCTCCCTTCAAATCAGACCATCTCATGTGTTCCACGGAAAAGTGCTAATCAACTACCTGAGACCGTTGCACTGCAAAATATAGTTTGGATAAAGCCAACACCTCTTTTGAGGTTTTGCTTTAAACCATGTGTTTAGAAGCTTAGAACTGGATAAGCTCAGCTCTTGTTTCCAGTACCTTATCATTGAAGAAAACGTATGCTATGAAAATTGAGACTAAGCTTGGTAAGTGGCTTCCTGACTCAAGCATCTAACTGCAGATGTTGGTAGAATGATATGGCGCCAGGCTCAAAATTTTGAGGATAGACTATACACTATAGACATTATAACTACTACAGCTTATTGCATTAGTTCTGGTGAGTAGCATCATTACCTTTGGGCTTTTCGCAGTAAACACTTTTTTTTTTTTTTTTCAGAGAAAAGGCAGTATTTACATTGCAGCATAGGGATACCACCACTGGCCACTCAGTCTGCATGGAAACACTGCACTTTCCTCATAGAGATGCTGTTTGGCTTGTGCTGGCTTTGCCACTGATCTGCATCCTTGACAAGCTCAGCCAAGCCAACCCAATGCTTTCCTATGGTAAATCATTGTGATTGGCTCAGATCACTTATGTCTGCGAAGAAGGCAGATCATGAGCAGTGCCTGCAGCAGAAATAAAAGTACGATTTTAATATATTGAGGGGGATAGAAGGTGGTTTTAACACTAGAGTCAGGGATGCATGTTTGCGTTTAATTATTTGGCTTGTTTGAATTAATATGGAATTATACTACATTCTCATTTATGCCAATTTGTATTTTAGACTGAACCAGAAGTGAATCCTAAGGCCTACCCACTAGCTGATGCTCAGCTCACCAAGACTATTCTGGACCTTGTGCAGCAGTCTGCTAATTATAAGCAGCTTCGTAAGGGAGCTAATGAAGGTAAGTTGTGTTCTATGAAATGTGTATATCAAAATATGCTACTCCTGGGATTGCAGAATACAGAAAGCATTATAAGGGTAAAAATGCACCTTTTGTGTAAAAGTTTTGCAGTGATTGTATCTCTCTTCCCTCTCCCCTCCCTCTGCTATAGGGTTTGCACAAATGGGGTGGCTTGGCTAATAAAGATGCCGCAGTTCTCACTCTTGGCAACCTACCTGGGGCCTGCATTTGACTTTATGTAGACTCATAATATAAATCCTGCCATGCAGTTAAAGCTTGTTTGCGGAGTAGGTCATCACTCTCTGCTGATGAGTGGAGTCCTGCATTGCTGAGCTTAGCTCAATACAGATAATTTCTGTCTCTTGTAGAAGTGACAGCAGACCCATGCAATTTCTTAAACCGACTATATGGGGAAGGGAGCTTCTGCCATCATAACCACTTTATTGCACTTCTGTTCTGATGCTTTTTTTTTTTTTTGTATTTTTAATAGTTGTACATGGTTCTGTGTTCCTTGCAGTTGAACTAAATACACCTTTCTTTGTCTTTACACAGCCACAAAGACTCTTAACAGAGGTATTGCAGAGTTTATAGTTATGTCAGCTGATGCAGAACCTCTGGAGATCATCCTACATCTCCCCCTGTTGTGTGAAGATAAGAATGTTCCCTATGTCTTTGTGCGCTCCAAGCAAGCATTGGGAAGAGCATGTGGCGTATCAAGACCTGTAATTGCTTGTTCAGTGACCATCAAGGAGGGATCACAGCTGAAGCCTCAGATCCAGTCTGTCCAGCAGGCTATTGAGAGACTGCTGGTGTAATACACAAGCGCCTCCAGAATACTGGCTTAAGATTTAATTTTTCATCCATAGAACAGATTTACAAATAACCATAGCTAACTGTTCATAGAACCAAAATATGAACATCGTGCAGATTTCTTTACATTTGTTATCTAAGAGCCAAACGGTCTTAAAACATTGGTTGTTTTTTCTTCAAATTTCAGTTGTCTTAATGTTTTACAGTAAAACTCCTGAAAAATCTACAATTTAATGTCAGTCTTTTTTCATTACACTGGCTTGTATTATATGTATTTTTAATAAAAACAAAAACCAGTAACTGGAATTTCTTTCAAGTTGATTTTACTAAAGCAGATGCTTGGAGTGCAGAGTACTGTTATTCTGCTGCAGCCATTTGTGCAGTCCATTTAATAAACATATTGGTGGTTTAAAGAAAAAGTGGAAAAACCTATGTTAATGCTTGTAATCATTACAGAATATGTATTTCCTAAATCCTAAAGTAGCACAAATGACTAATCTCCAAACTTACATTTATCAGATGTGTGGGTTTTATAGAAATGTATTTAACAAATACATCTTTAGTGCTGTAGTTAAAGGGACACTATATGTACCCAGACCACTGCAACTCACTAAAGTGGTCTGGGTGCAGTGTCCCAACATCCTTAACCCTGCAACGGTAATAGCAGGTTTTAAAAAAATATTTGAGTTAACACCACCCCCACTTTTGGTTGCCTGACTACAGTTATGCATTGAGGACTCCTAGTGTCACCAGAATCCCCACAGGAGAGCATAATAATGCCGCACGCCCCACACCCCTGGGGGAGGGGAGCTTGACATGTGGGGAAGCTATTTTGCCATGAAAACTAGTTTTCCTGGCACGATAGTTTCCCTTTAACACCTTAAAGGGCGGCAGGCGTGTTATGCTGTCCTTGGGGATCTGGCTCTAAATGCCACCGGGTGACATACCACGTGCCCGCTATCTTATGTACCGTATATACTCTAGTATAAGCAGAGTTTTTCAGCACATTTTGTGCTGGAAAAACCCCAACTCGGCTTGTACTCGAGTCACTGTCTGTATTATGGCAATTTACATTGCCATAATACAGACTGGGGGCTGGCAGTGAGCTGTTACCTCTCCTGCAGCTCCCTCCTCCGCGCCTGTCCGGTCAGCACCTCGGTCAGCTCCCAGTGTAAGTCTCGCGAGAGCCGCGGGGTCATAGTGCGGCTCTCGCGAGACTTACACTGGGAGCTGAGGGAAGAGCTGCACGGGCCGGCGCGGAGGAGGAGGAGAGAGAGCTGATGGGAGCTGTAGGAGAGGTAAGTAACAGCTCTGCCAGCCCCCCTCCTTCCCCCCCACTGAACTGCCAATGCCACTGGACCACCAGGGAAGGAGAGCCCCCCCTCCCTGCCATGTATCAAGCAGGGAGGGGGGACGAAAAATAAAAATACAAAAAAATAACTTTTATAAAAATGCCCACCCCCCCCACCAAGGCTAGGCAACACACACACTGCGCATTCATCATATACACAGTGTAAATATTCAATTAATATAATTTTTTTAGGATCTAATTTTATTTCTGAATTTACTAGTAGCTGCTGCATTTCCCACTCTAGTCATACTCGAGTCAGTAAGTTTTCCCAGTTTTTTGGGGGTAAAATTAGGGGCCTCGGCTTATATTCGGGTCGGCTTATACTCGAGTATATACGGTACTTGGTCACTGGCGATTCCCTGCCGGCTGTTGCAATGGGGGGGACTTAGATGGAATAGCTGTCCACAGCAGGGGGAGTGCCTATGTTTAAAAACATTTTAAAATGAAATGTACTAAATGTATTTTAATGTCAAAATACATGTAGAATGATATTGATTAAATATATAACTATGTACTTTTTTTAAAAGTCCTTTCATTCTAACTATTTTAATATATTCAAAATACACAGAACAAAATATATACGTAAGTATAACTTTATATAATTAGGTCATTAATTGCAATTTGTAGGACCTGCCTGATCCATGGAATCTAATTTGCTAGCACTATTTAAGCCTGTAACTTTCCAAGACACCATGGGAAATACTGTTTTACTCGGAAGAATTCACTGAGTTTCAAAACATTAAAATTGTCAGTGAAAATTTTACACACACAGATGGCATTTACACTAATTGTTACGTTTTACTATTTTGAAACACAAATGTGTTCAGCAAAGTCTCCAGAGTAACCGTACCCCTCATGTACAGGTTTTAAGGTGTTTCCAAAAGTTAGTCAAATGTAAGGCTTGCGTTTGTTTTCACATTGAAATTCGCCAGATTAGTTGCGTTGCCTTTTACACAGTGTGGTAGCCCAAGAATAAAAATTACCCCCATGATGGCATACCATTTGCAATAGTAGACAACCCAAGGTATTGCAAATGGGGTATATCCAGTCTTTTTTAGAAGCCACTTAGTCACAAACACTGGCCAAAATTGACATTCAAATTAGGGTTTTTTTTTTTTGCATTTATCACACACAAACACTAACTTTGGCTAGTGTTTGTGGCCAACTGGCTACTAAAAAGACTGGACATACCCCATTTGCAATACCTTGGATTGTCTACTATTGCAAATGATATGCCATTATGGGGTTAATTCTCATTCCTGGGCTTCCCTATGGTCTTAAAGGCAACGGAATCAATCTAGCGAATTTCAATGTGAAAAAATAAACGTGCTATATTTGACCCTGTAACTTCACAAAACACCATAAAACCTTTACACAAGACATCGCTGAATCCAAATGTGTATTTTATTGCAGTAAAAGCAAACAGTATGACATTCACAATTAAAATGTCATGTAGAACTAAAAGAATAACTTATTTTCTCCCCTTTTATATTTTCATATTAAATTGTTTCATAGCTAAATATTTGATAAATGACAGCCCTGTTTCCCCTGAATAAAATTATGATAAATGTGGGTGCACTTAAAGGACCACTCTAGGCACCCAGACCACTTCAGCTTAATGAAGTGGTCTGGGTGCCAGGTCCAGCTAGGGTTAACCCATTCTTTTATAAACATAGTTTCAGAGAAACTGCTATGTTTATGAATGGGTTAAGCCTTCCCCCAAAGCCTCTAGCGGCTGTCTCATTGACAGGCGCTAGAGGACGCTTGTGTGCTTCTCACTGTGATTTTCACAGTGAGAGCACGCCAGTGTCCATAGGAAAGCATTGTAAATGCTTTCCTATGCGACCGGCTGAATGCGCGCGCAGCTCTTGCCGCGCATGCGCATTCAGCTGAATGGGAGGAACGGAGGAGGCGAGCTCCCTGCCCAGCGCTGGAAAAAGGTAACTTTTAACCCTTTCCCCCCTTCCAGAGCCACGAGTTTTCCTGGCACTATAGTGGTCCTTTAATAGCAAGAGGTGAAATAGGGTTGAATAGACAGACAAATTCCAGGTTTTGTTTTGATCATGTGTACATTTGGCTCAGTCCTTAAAGGACCACTATAGGCACCCAGACCACTCCAGCTTAATGAGGTGGTCTGGGTGCCTGGTCCATCTAGGGTTAACCCTTTTATCTATAAACATAGTTTCAGAGAAACTGCTATGTTTGTTAGGGTTAATCCAGCCGCTAGAGGAAAATCACAGTGAGAAGACGCCAGCGTCCATAGGAAAGCATTCAGGAGAGGAGGAGGAGAGCTCCCGGTGCTGGAGAAAGAGGTAAGTTTAACCCCTTCCTCTCCATCCAGCCCGGCAGGTGGGGGGGGCACCCTTAGGGTACTATAGTCACTAAGCTACTGTGTGATTACACAGTTATACACAATTGCAATTCTGTCATTTTTTTCTTTACTAGTAAATTCGACTCAATCATTCAACATGCTTCACTTTAGGATACACAAATATGTGGACTTTGTCATTTGCCTTCAGCATTAAATTTGCATACACTCACTTATTGCTCCCAGTAGAAGGATGGATACATACATGGCAGGTTGAAGAGCAACATTTTTTATTTTATTTTTTTTGAATGGAGAGCAAGGTGCATGTATGACATTTTTTTTTTTTTTTTTTTGCATGGTGTACCATGGCTCAAACTTTAGATCCACCTCTACAGCCCTCAATATAAAAGATAAGCATATACAAAATGTTTATTTCAAAACATTAACAAAATGAGTCACAAAAGTAGAGAGGTTTAATTTCAAAGGAATGAACAGTGAAAGACCACTACAGCACAGGTGTTGTGATCTACATCTCCCTAATGCTTTAACAGACCTAATACTGGCAAAGCATCAAGGGAGATGTAGTCCACATCTAGAGTGCCAAAAGCTGCCTATTCCTGGACTACAGGCTAACTTGCTTAAAGGAAATCTTTCTTTGGATTATAAAAATTGTACCATGTGTAGTTTTAGAAGGATAGGGAAATTTCTACAGTAACCCTATCTAGCTTTTTTAATAAATGCACTTGTGGTTGGTTATCTTTGCATTTTCTTCCGTTAAAGATACTGTGACTAGCACAGTGAAATAATGGCTTGAATGCTACCATTTCATTGCTGTAACTATTTGCTTTTGCTGCTAATATATGAACGCATAAGCACTATTGTTTAACATGAAACAATCAGACATAAAAAGGTATATGTTTCATTCTAATTAGTTTTGTTTTTAACTGCTCCTGGAAATGTTTATTTTAAAATCTGAGCTCATGGATAAGATACAGTTGCAGCCACGTTGGGACTACATATTTATTGCGATAACGAACTGGATGGGAAAAAGCCAATCCTTGACTAGAGGATACAAATTACTGGAAATAGCACTACAAAAAGAATCCACCATGTACCCGCACATAAAGTGGTAAATAAATGACCAAATTCTCAATTGCCACTGTTCCAAAATTATATACTGGCATCTTTTCACATACGTGGAAGGAAAGTAGCACAGAAAATGGCATTTTAACTAGGTAGAAAGGCAAACCTAAAAATGCAATTTTTAATTTACAAAAAAAAAAAAAGCATGGAACACTGACAATCAAGCTTTTAATGACATGGCTAGCAAGAATTCTTACTTCCATAGCAAGCAGAGTCCATAAGACCTGCTCGTCCACATATTGATAGCTTCCAGTATATAGGAAATGTGATCTTTTATAAACTCCAATAATGGTATAGAGTTGGATGATCAAAGTAATTATAACAGAAGGCTATTTGAATCCGCATATGCCTATACAAGATCATCTCTCACTGACTGATCAAGGTGACTAGTTCTTTTTGAAGTGACCTACAAGGGCATCAACCAACTCCTGTTTCTTTCCACCCTTCAGCCCATACATTCGGCATGCCTCTTTTAACACAGGCACAGTCAGCTTTCCTAGTGTCCCATTCTTTACAAAGTTCCTCAGTTCTTCTTCAGAGATTGAAATGTCTGCTTTGGCTTTTTTCTCACCGGGGCCATCTCCATCACCTGTAAAGATAAGAACATGAGCAGTTTTCCATAATCAGATTCCCTGATGATGGCTAACTAATGTCACTGATGCTCTGGCTAAGCATCAAGGCAGTTTAAAAACATTGCAGTTTTTATTTATTTTTGTCTACATTGCAAGGTTAAATACACACCCAGTGCCTGTTACACAGACAGCAAATGTCTAAAGTTAAATTTGGTTGCGTGATGCAGAACGCACTGATTCAAGCCTTCCTATGTGGAAGCTAGAACATGCGCGTGGCACTCGCTGCACAACGGGTCCTCACTAACTCCTCCATGATGTCGCGGGAAGAAGTAAGCAGCACCAAGGGAGCCTCGGCCACGGAAAAAGGTAAGTAAAACTTTACTTTTTTTTATTGCAAAGGTGGGGGATAGATATAGGGGCAGGGACATTATAACATTAGGAATACATGTTTATATTGCTTAAGCTATAGTTTTCCTTTGAGCATTAATCCTGGCTGGGGCCTGAACTTAAAGTAAAAAGGGTGATGTTTCTAATGCTAAAGTAAAATATATCAACATACTTTTCTAGGACATTGTCAGATACTGCTTTAGATAAATGGGAAGCAAGATGTGAGATTTCAAGAAAATGATACAGAGGTGCTCAATGAAGTATGAATACTATGAATACTTGGGAATTCAAATCATAGACCAAAGTAACAAATATATCTGAATTTTTCCACTTGGCTATTGTGTCCTAAAATTTGACAGTCACTTTGAATTCCTGACAAATCACACTTTATTGAATAGTTGTGGACAGTTTAACAGCGTTAGTAACCAGGTAGAGAGAAGTGCACATACTAGGGGGGGGGAGGGAGGGGATTACTTTTTATCAGGGTCCTCCAAACAGCGAGTGCAGTTCCCCAAGTATCCAATGGATGAGAGGACAGAATGTCCAGGCACATCAAGTAATATTTTTCTGGAAAGGCAGTCTTTATTTTGAATTAGGAAATAAATTCTCACATAGGAGCCAAAACATTATATTTTCAATTTCCAAGTAAAGACTGCCTTCCAGAAGAAATTCTCTGAGTGCCTGGACATTCTGTATTCCAGTGTAAGAGTTAATGAGAGAGAATATATATACACACACACAAATATAAAAATATACTGAAATAGAACCACTCATGGGTTTTTGTAAAAAAAAAAAATTCATATATATATCTATATACATCACAAAAAAGGAATGCCATTGTACGTGATGCATATCATACATACCTTGTTTTCTTTTTACAGGTTTGCCCTCTGGGTTGTACCCTGCAGGGTAAACCATCTCCTTAAATTCATCCACCAGAGAGCCCACGCGATTATCAATCATCGCCACCTTTGGCACTAGATAAACAAATATACTCAGATAAAAAAAAAAAAAAATTGGGTATAGTCTTACATTCTTACTCCAAGAACCCTAGATGAAGCAGAATGCTACCGACCTTGCAAACCAGGAAGTCTTCCAAACTCATTACACAGCTTCCTCAGAGACATCTAACACATTTTCTGCTCTTTCTTCGGACATTCTATAACTTATAGTAGACATTACATGTGAACTCCCAGGTATCTAAGCTGATCTGATGAAAGGGTACTGACATCACCTTTGCTTGTATTCATGAGACGCATACTGCTCCTATATAAATGATCAGTGCACTTCTTAAATTAGGTGGTTAAAAGATTGTACATGTAAATTTATTTGGGTCTGCTTTGGTGGGTTTTTTTTTTGGTTTTTTTTTACAGTCTAGATGACTAAAAAATGAAATTGCATGAATTTTAAGTATAATTTTGTAATTCTATCACCCTACTGGTGTAATCTTGTTTGTTATTGAACTAGCATGTAAGCTCATTGAGCAGGGCCCTCAATCCCTCTGTTACTGTATGTCCATTTGTCTGGTTACAATTACGTGTCTGTTAGTCCACCCATTGTACACCGCTATGGAATTTTGCTGGCGCTATATAAATAAAATAATAACTATACAATTATGGGATTATGCTAATGCAGTGTACCTATAAAAGGGTGTAAAAGGCCATCACCACAACTCCTCTTTCTTTGCTGCTTCTGCTAAAGCACAGGTCAGAGTATTTCGTCTTTTTGATTTCTTCCAGTGTTTAGCTAATATACTTATTAATTTGTCATATTTGTGTTGTCTCATTACTTGATGCTGATTTTATTTAGTCCCCACTACTGTCTGCTGCCTTTTCAATACCTTATTTAAACTTTCTTTCAGCCTTCCATATGGCCTTATGTTTTTCGTCCACCTCAGGCTTGAGTTTGGGGTTTTCCTGGCTCTCTCCCCCTCACTCTATTCTGTTTGTGGCCTCTATTTAGAGCTAATCAGGGGATTCTGAGAGTGTTGGGGGGGTGGGGTGGGGGTCAGCGGGCCAGCGAACACGGTTATATTACTGCTTTCAATGTGTGCCTTTACCCTTACACCACTCTGTCTACCCAGCTTTTAGTGCCCTTTCTGTGTCATCCCTACCTCTGTGCCTCTTATTTCTATCAATATACAGGTCTGGGCCGCTCAGCCACTGATGACCTGCTTTGATTCATTGGCAGTGGTTGTCTCGATCACAATATTTTATGTTGGCTTGTTTTCCATCCAGGGAAACTTAGGTAGGGTACTGTGGGTCAAAGGGGCATGGGGCGCACTGTGTTTGCTCCGACGGGGCCGCGTTTTGGCACAAACGGCGGCCATCTTGGTTCTCGCAAAATCCTCAGCAGCCATTTTAGTGTACTCAGATTGTGATTCACAGAGTCTGAAATGGGACTGCGTTTTTTTCTCCTACTATGACTGCTCATCCATATATTTATCTACTAATTTCCTTCTATTGTTACATAATATAACACTGTTATATTGAAATACACCTGCAAGTCAGATGCTGCACTTATTGATTGTGAGGATCACTATCTACCTAAAAGAGAAAAGCATCAGTTCTTGGTTACCTAATAAAGCAATTACTGATGTATAGGGGTGACCCCCCCCCTGCATAGTGCCAATATATGTTTCAGGTTTTACCATTGGTGGAGTTATTGCCAATATCTAGTGGTACCACATGACTCCTATACAGGGGGCTGATCAAGTAGCTGCATAATAACAGGGTGACCTTCCTTACCAATGGGGTGAACCCAGACTCAGGCATTTTCTCATACTCAAGGGTGTCCCCCCTTTCGGATTACATATATGGATTGAAGCCGGACTTCCTGCATCAACAAGTCACTGTATAAACTTGGTATCACAGAGGTACAGCTGTGTTGAGCCCCCACATTCATACCCCCTGACCTCCTGGTGGACTGTTCATAAGAGGGTGACCCCCTCAATTGGTACCTTTCCCATCCTATTGGGACACTAAAGTGTGACCTCCCTAAATGATTTATGAGATGGTTATTGAACTGTACAATTAGTTCTACGCATCTGGTCGATATGTATTACAATGAAATAAACAAATCTTACATGTCAGATCCTCAATGGGCTCTGGTTCCATCATATCCAAAGCAAGGGCCTCTAGGTTACGGAAGTGCTGCTGAAGTACAGGGTTTTCAAAGGCATCACTCCTAAAAAACACCGGAGGAACAGTTACACCAAGAAGCATCACAGAAAACTATAACCAGACAGGAATCTGCAACCAGAAATATGTTCTTAGTGTATTACAATGTTATTTAAGCTGACAGATTTTGTGTGTTTTCTGTATGTGTCTATGGAGTACTAGAATCACATCTAGGAACAGATGCCAAAAACCACTAAAGTCACCCAGGCCACTTCATCTCAATGACTTGGCCCTAGGTGCAGTGCAATGTTTACATTGCAGTGTTAAATCCTCCCCTAGTGGTTGTCCTAATAACAGCCATCAGGGGGTGCTTCTGAGGCATTGACAGAGTAAAACTCGACCCCCATAAGAAAGCATCGATTAAACGCCTTCCTCTGGGAAAGCTTGGATATGTGCACGCAGGCATGGCGTGAGAAGTTGCGGGTGGCGGAGAGTTAAGCTGCGCCAAGGGAGCCTTGGTGCTGGAAAAGATAAATAATTTATTTTAAAATGTCAAATGGAGATATATATATATATATATATATATATATAAAACATATGTAACAAACTGTAAATGCACATTGTACCAAGTGCACATTAGACAAAAGAAATAGAACAAAAATAAAGTCGTGAATCAGAATTGGTGTGATCAGATCATTAGCTTTACAGCACAGGGTGGTGGTTGTTCAAAATGAACAGTGTTTTATATTCATGCCAGACTAAAGCATTAAAATTAATTAACATATGTTAAACCACACCAGGTGCAGGCATGACCGGTCCCTTTCAAATGTGTATTTCTTACGCTATAATGTAATGTATAATGAAAGTCAAACATTTCCAGGAATACTACTACTGGGAATGTATACTGCCTTTAGCAGTTCATTTCCTGTTGGACACAGAATCTGGTGTAAAGTGTACAGGTTTTACACAATCCCCCCCCATAAAACTGGATAACATAATGCATTCGTATTAAGCAATGTGTCTAGAAAAACAAACATATTTCCACCTGCTACCACGGATTTTATTTCTATGAAATTCATAGATGCATTCGCAAACACTAAAAATCTCTGGGCTCCTCAAACTATTTTTAGATAGGCACAAATGGTAGCTAGTTTAGCCCCCATTTTTACTCTCTCATCTGATTTTTAGAATATCTTTTTGATCATAATTGCAGGGTACTGGCATTTAATTTACCTTAGAGATAGAAATGATGGCTTTTTGATTTCCGAGGCAGACAAAGAGTTTGTTGATACAAGCAACTCTCCTTATAGGGAGCCCAGTGACTATCCATGAAACTCACAGTCTCAGTAGAAAATATGGAAAGTTCAATGCTATACATATGATCAAAGCACCACTGGATTTGAAGATTTAACCCTGTGAATAAAGTATTTTGTTGTGTTCCAACCAAGCCTTCAATTTAATATACTTTGATATTTAAAAAAAATATTTGGAAAGCTTATCAAACATATATATAGAAAATATATCAATACATTAAAAACCATGATAAAATATTTTTCACAATATTAAATCGTTTTAAAAGTTTATCCTACCATATTACATCCTTTGGAAAGCTTATCCAACAATATTAAAAGGAGGCCTACATTGGTAGAAAATAATTTTATCTCAAATCCATCAACTTTATATCTATTAAGGGTAACATACCTGTATTTAAATCTCATCTTTTGCACAATTTCTTTCATTTTATTGACCTGCTCATCACTAGCAGTAATCTTTTCTGGGAAGTCAACTTTTCGTATGTCATCAGCAAACGGTAGGAAAATAAGACTGAAACCTGAATGCAGGAAGAAAAAAAAAACCCAAAAAAACATTTTTTCTTCTATCCAAGGATGAACCAAATTTAATAACATTTAACATTGATAAAACTGCCAACAAAATGACTACCGTTAGAAAATCAGAGGCACAAAAAATTGTTTTGCATACTGTAAAATCAGTGACCGCTGTTCTACGGACATACTGGTAGGGAAACCAATAAAGAGGGAAAACATTGCTATATAGTTTTTGAAAATAAAAATTATGAACAATCCATTAGATGGTCATCTTCTCTCTATGCCCAATTACGGCAAATATGTGACACTCGGGAAAGGGCAGTTGAGAGCTACAACAAACATTTTGTCAGTTAAAATGTTTGTTTTTTCATATCGACTAGAAAGTGTCATCTATTGGTTTAGATTTTTGTATACTGGTTATTATTAGTGCACTGATAGATCTTTCTTTAAGTGATGTTTAGATACATTGATGGTCAAGGTTGTGTATAACATATACATATAAAAAAAATATTTCTCATTGACAGCCGCTAGAGGTGCTTACATGCTTCTCACTGTGATTTTCACAGTGAGAAGACGCCAGCGTCCATAGTTCCTATGGACTGGCTGAATGCGCGCGCGGCTCTTGCCGCGCATGCGCATTCAGCCGAGGAGGAGGAGAGCCCCATGCCCAGCACAGGAGAAAGAGGTAAGTTTAACCCCTTCCTCTCCATCCAGCCCGGCTGTGGGGGGCACCCTCAGGGCACTATAGTGCCAGGAAAACGAGTATGTTTTCCTGGAACTATAGTGGACCTTTAAGTTTGTTTACAAATTTATGTTCTGTTAGGTTTAAAACAAGATTTTTAAATGTAAAATAAAAGAACACTATAAGGGTTATTCTCTAAACTCCAAATTTTCACAAAATAAATGTTAATGGAAAAACAGACAAAAATAGCTGACCTAGAAAAAATTACTATCCAGATTTAATTTGCAATAAATCTGAGTTTAGTAAATATAGCTCTATGCTTTACTTGTCAGTTTAAAAACAGCTAGTAGTTAGAATGTAATATCGTTTTAGCAGAACCTTTCATCACTGGTTTTCTTAGAATAACCTGCACTGTATCATGTATTTACCCACTGTGCAACACTGCAGAACATAGAGCTGTGATTGGCTTAATACTGTGATGGTTAACCTTGGAGTGACAGTGAACTGTATCATAGAAAAGGTTGTTTCATCGTGGCTGCTCTAATATGCAACATTACATAAAGTATTACTTTTAGATGTTGTCATATATTATGCCTATGAGAAGAGAAAATAAATATATATGTTTAATTTGCAACAAATCTGTCAATTTGGGGATTACAAGTCATTAACACAAGAGTATGGGATATTTGGTACATGTTCATGCCATTGTTTAATTTGCATACATAAACATCAATAAGAAGGAAATCTAGAATACAACATAAAATGTTTTTGTTCCTAGTATCATTACATTATCATTACGATTTTATGATTTAAAGGTTTAAGTTATGAACGATTTTTCCATCTTCTTGAAGAATTCCCTAGTTGTACAGTTTGTGATTTAAAGTGAAAAGATTATCCATTGATATTATAAATAGTTTCCCCTATTATTGGTTTAGGACTACTGAATGAAGCCAAGGTAGCTAGAGATACAGTTGACGTGTGTTGACTTTTTTTTTTTTTTTTTACACAACTGAGTAATCTACGAAACTTGGGCAAGAAAACAAAATTTTTTACTTACCGTAAATTTATTTTTCCAGAAGATTAGATTAGAGGAAAAACAGGCAGGCAACTCCCAAACTTTTTAAAAACCTCCCCCAATTAACCTTTGGACCTATAAATTGCCTCTTACCTAGGACAGCCCCAGAAAATACAAAAGCCGAATAACAGCACAACTTAGTCTATCAGCAAATCGGGGGGGGAAGTGAGCACTGCCTCTAATCTTCCGGAAAAAGAAATTTACAGTAAGTAAAAAATGTAGTTTTTCCCCTTCAGATTAGAGGCAGTGCTATACATCTGGGATAAATCAAAGTAATCCCCTAAGGGAGGGACTCATTACACAACTGCATGCAACAACCTGCGCCCAAAGTTGCATCTTCCGAGGTCAACAGGCCTAAATGTAAAGTTTACCAAATGTGTGAATAAATCAGCATGAGGCTGAAGAAAATTATGAGAAGGTGTGACGAAGTGCCCTTCGCCACTTGGTCCTGGAGAGGCCTGCTTGCCAGCCTCCTCCCCAGTGACTATGACTCTTTGATGTATTTGGCTTTAAAGCCCCTATTCTACCTTCAGACAGACTATTTATGTAGGTTGCTTTATTTCTTTTATGTTTTAGTCACCCTGTCCCATTATAGGTGCAGGGTGTGTGTAATGTAATTGTTTATAGTGTGTGTGTGTGTACTGTGAAATGTATTGCCTGCTCTCCTGTACTGATGAGGTTTGCTACTAATAATAATGCAATATTAAGCTTACGGCACCTGAGGATCCTAGTTGGTCTCCCATACAAATCCTAACCAGGCCCGAGTCTGGATTGCTTCTGAGATGTGACGAAATCAGGCACTTTCAGACTGGTATGCTGTAAATCGAACCTTAGGAATCTTTGCTGGGTTCTGATTTAATCCTAATTCCATCAATGGTAAGATACGGCTGGTCTCCCATGCAGAAATAAACCAGGAACAAGTCTGCTCAGCTTTAAAAACTAACCATTAGTAAGTCAATTCAGACTATAGCCGCCCGAGATACAGACTTTGATACCCAAAGAAAACAGGTTGATTGTCTTGAGGATTAGAACGGAAAAGTAAGAACCGTCTGGCATCATTCATTTCTGCCTGGTTCAAAAGGGAATGACAGAAGTATTAGAATTTTCTGCAAAATCTTTTCAAATTCCACCAGCAAATTTTACTGTGCCTCTGCTACTGAAGAACCAGTGTAAACAGTGCTGTGCATAGAGAAGCTGAAGAGACAAACAGTTTCTTTAAAGACGGGAAGAAAAAAAAATGAATTTCCCTAGCATCTCGTCTACAGGAGTAGAAGAGAGATTTCAGGTGATAAGATATGAGGGGAAAAAAAAAAAAATTCCTGGGAACTAACATTCCCTAGAATCAAAACCTTCAATGGGAATGCCAAAGGATAAATAAATATGTTCACACCTGAACTGTTCCTTGTCAAGCAACAGAAACTGCACACCTCAGGTAAAGGGAATTCTTCATCAGAAGATTCATTAGCATCCTTGTTTAGTCAGTAGAAAAAAATACCCTAACCTTTAGGGGCTTGTGTACAAAAAACAAATTAGATGCCCATTAGCCAGCAGTATTGTAGAAAACCAACAAATTTATGGATGGGAACATTCAGCATAGTGAGAGAATCACAAGCGGCAATTGCCATATAAGCTCTTTCTTAAAAGGAAAACGGCAAATAAACCTAGGTAGTAACACAAACCCTGTCATACCGTATCTATGGCAGTGCAGGGTACAAAATGAATATGGTGGAAATGTCCCATGATCAATAGGCCTGCAGCTGTACTAGAACTTGAAGTCAAGCCCAGTAACATGAGGAATAAATATTTTTCCATGGAGGCTAGTTCATACAGGTTAACCTCTTTAGTGGCTGAAGAGAGACTGTTCACATAGATACAGAGCCTGCGTAAGACAATACCCACGATATAGGTTTTCCTTAGCCGTATTTGGGAAGCAGAGGCTTGAGCAGACAGAATGGCTGCAGACTGCATTTCAAAACCGGTTTGATGCCAACTCTGCAGGAAACAATTTTAGGAAGCATTTCTTTAAATTTTGCTATTCCAACAAACAGTCTAGCACAATCCAGCATTTTTAACTGACAATATAGGACTAGGAATTTTAAAAAAAGCACAAAAACATAAAATGTGCAATCATGGAATGAAGCACAGGAAAAGTTCTGCCCCAGCGGAAAACAGACTGCACGTTTAAGAAACTGAGATCAGGTGAAACAAGTTGAAGTGGTGATAATGTTAATTTCCACAGAGTTGTAGAGTTTTGTCTACAGTGTTCGCTAAAATCCTACTGCATGCTCTAAGAAACATTCACTGCAGCCGAGGTTCCAGGCATTTAACGAATCCTTGAGCTCGTCAGAATGATAAAATGAGAACATTTCCGGATCAGCGGAACGCACATGCGTTCCACAGACGTTTTTTCCAGATCTCCATAAAAGGAAATAGAGGACGAGCAACTGGAGCCTAGCTAAAAGCTGAAAGCAGCGGATTGGAGGAACAGAACGAAAAGCCGGAGGGAGGGACTTTTAAAAAGACAGCTGTAGTTCCCAGAAGATTTGAAGCACCTTACTTGATTTTTTACTCCTGAGGAAGTCTGACATTACAGACGAAACGCGTAGAGTTATATTTCTTATTTTAATTATTTATTTGTTTTTTCTGCCTAATACTTCTGTGAGGATCACCCTACTTCATACTGATGGGACATACAGAATTGTATTGATGGGCCTTTTTACATCATTTACACTGTAAGTGCAACCATTAAAGCTGATTTATATTTTATGACAGTGCTGTACTATGTTTTTTATCTTTTGCATGCGACATTCATCATCCTTATTATGAGGAACTCGTGAAAACCTACAAAATTGATGAGCCTGAAAATCACTTCAATTTTGTGAGTGTGACATTGAAATAAGGGGCTATTTGTGAATTTACATTATTCCCCATGAGCCTTTTCTTTCTTTATTTTATAGGTTTAGGTATATCCTATTTTTTCCATATGTATTGAGGATTGAGAGGAATCATTTGTTATACTAAACTTAAAAGGAAGTAATTATCTTTTTTATTGCTTATATGCACTGCAACTGGGTGGTCTAAATCTGTATTTTTGTATTTAACGAATCCATCTGCTACAACAGCAACTTAACTGAAAAAAAAAGATTTTAAATCAGCCTCCTAAAGATTTAATACAGCGGATAATCCTCCAATTGTCATCCGGGACTTGCTGCCTATGAAGGATTGGTAATATATTTCACAGGAACCCTTTACTGTTAAATTACCCAATCTGATGTAGCAATTAGTGATTATTGGAACCCATCATCACTTATTACTGTGTAGCAGCTATTCAAAGCAATAGTAACGAATACTTGATTTTCTAAACATAAAGTAATTATAATTGATACAATCTCTATCTAACACCCTATTATCTATCCTGCACCCCACTGGGGAAGGGAGCACAGACACATAGGCTCTACCCCAATATAGCCTATATATCAGTAGAAGAAACCTATGGGACCGATCTACTAAGTGCTTACACTTTACCGCACTATTTATGTGATAAGCAGCTAAAAACATATAGTTTGTACCATTAAACTTAGTATCATATGTGCTTTTTGTTTAACCATCTTAACTGGGTTGGAACATGTTGCACAGATTAACAAAAAACAACAATTCAGGATAGACTCATTTAAGATAAAAGCAGAAAAGTCTTTCCTTAAATGGGCTCAAAGTGTGTTGGAGGAAAGGTGAGAACACACTTGCAACAGATTCTGAGTGCACCTAGCAAACAGTTAGTTGCTGCTGGGAAAACAGCCTCTCTAAGTCCTGGAAACCAACATCTTGAAACACGAAAAGAGAGAGAGAGAAAAAAAAAAAACTATATTAAAGATTTTGGCGCCTGAATTTGAAATCGCATTGCGCATGTGTCATGCGTGCCGCGATTCCACGGTGGAAAGCATCGCAACCTGTACATGTGTTCCACCGCCAGGACTTCCCAGCTAGCGCACATATGCGCACCATCATCTGCCCGGCACCTGGCCTGGTACAGACGGAAAAAATACCAACAGGGAAGATGCAGACATCCGGTGTGCTTATTCCTGGGAGATCTCTGAAATGTTTAAATAGAAGCAGAGCCTCCCGAGCCTCCGCCCTCTCACCATACTCCTGGGGAGCAAACCTGACACCCTCCTCTGCCGAAGGCAGGCAAAGAACTGGGACTGTCCTAGGTAAGAGGCAATTTATAGGTCCAAAGGTTAATTGGGGGAGGTTCTTAAAAAGTTTGGGAGTTGTCTGCCTGTTTTTTCCCTCCAGATCAGAAATCACAGATGTAAAGCACTGCTACTAATCTGAAGGGAAAAACATACTTTAATGCAAACTGGCATCTAAACAGAAAGAAAATGGCCTAAATGTATTAAAATGCCATCAAACTTTCTTAGAACTACAACTCATGGGAGTTGTAGTTCTAAGAAAGTTGCTAATCCAAAACAAATAGGTCTGTGAACTGATCATCATTAACACCAGTAATTAGAGACTTTTTTTGAATAAAACTACCACCTCCTACAACTAGGCTGGTTCTCAGATTATGACCCCTATATATAAGCAATAAACTGACATATCATAATAGTCACTAAGTCTAAGTAATGGTCATTATTTATTGCCAGGATTACAAAGGTCTAGCTTACCTGGTGGTTTGATCTGCACATTATCATCATCCAGTACCTCCTCCTGTGGGATCAATGCCACAAACCGAGGGGGTGTATTTCTGCGGGGTATATACCTGCAGATGGCCATAACCTCCCGGGACTGGCACCTGGTCAGCAAAGCGTGAAACAAAGTAGTGCTCCCTAAAAGATGAATGACACAGTTCTGTTTTATTTATAATTTTGACAGAAATGAACAGTGATTAGGCAACACTACTGACTTTGATAGTTGTGAATAATATATATACACACACACACACACACACACACATATATACATACACAAACTACAATTATGGATTATATTCTGGCTAACTGCTAAGTCTGCCGCTAGCCAAAACAGTAACAAGAAGCACCATTTCTAGAAAGGAACAGGATGGGAAGAAACATACGGTTTTGCATGGATGACATGAAATTGAGAAGTATCAAAAGAAAGACAGTACTTTCACTAAACCTAAACAAATTCAGCGAGACAAATCCTAGTGGGTACGGTATAATGTTGAAAATACAGACCTTATGTGTGAAAGTGGACCAGGTGATGAAAGCACAAAAAACACAAAACAAAATACAATTAATGCAGAAAATTAAGTTAATACACCTGTATGAAGGGGGGGACCGGACAAAACCTAGAAGGTTACTGAATGAATTCTGCATCAAAAGCAGAAATGAAATAAAATACCCACCATGTTTTTAAAAGACTGGAGGTAGGAGCAAAAAAGAACTAAACCTCCCCTTCAAATTTAGTTATATGTAATACGACCCTTTGGATGTCTTGCTCCGATATCGTTTAAAAAAAAAAAAAAAAATGAGCAATTCACAATGAATTCAAGATACTTTTCCCTAGCAAATATTGCCCTGTTTACTTCATATGGAACAAAAAAGGTATGTTTCCAAACGGTTCCATTTTATTAAAGGACCACTATAGGCACCTAGACCACTTCAGCTTAATGAAGTGGTCTGGGTGCCTGGTCCAGCTAGGGTTATCCCTTTTTGCTGTAAACATAGCAGTTTCAGAGAAACTGCTATGTTTACCTATGGGTTAATCCAGCCTCTAGTGGGCGCTTCCGTCCTTCTCACTGTGATTTTCACAGTGAGAAGACGCCAGCGTCCATAGGAAAGCATTGTGAATGCTTTCTTATGAGACTGACTGAATGTGCGCGCGGCTCTTGCTGAGCATGCGCATTCAGCCGAGGAGGAGAGTCTCCCACCCAGCGCTGGAGAAAGAGGTAAGTTTAACCCCTTCCTCTCCATCCAGCCCGGCGGGAGGGGGACCCTGAGGGTGGGGGGCACCCTCAGGGCACTATAGTGCCAGGAAAAAGAGTATGTTTTCCTGGCACTATAGTGGTCCTTTAAATACGTCATTGTGTATATAAATTTGTTTCTAAACAAATAAACAAGAGAATCAAGCGTTAATCAGCAACATTGTTTTGTCCTCATGAGTTAAACATGCTCACTTACTCATAGATACATATACAAAAAAGTATGTGAACCCTTTGGAATGATATGGATTCCTGCACAAATTGGTCATAAAATGTGATCTGATCATCATCACTGATCTAAGTCACAACAATAGACAATCACAGTCTGCTTAAACTAATAACACACAAAGAATGAAATGTTGCCATGTTTTTATTGAACACACCATGTAAACATTCACAGTGCACGTGGAAAAAGTATGTGAACCCCATGACCAATGACATCTCCAAAAACTAATTGGAGTGAGATATCAGCCAACTGGAGTCCAATCAATGAGATGAGATTGGAGGTGTTGGTTACAGCTGCCCTGCCCTATAAAAAACACACACCAGTTCTGGGTTTGCTTTTCACAAGAAGCATTGCCTGATGAGAATGATGCCTCACACAAAAGAGCTCTTAGAAGACCTATGATTAAGAATTGTTGACTTGCATAAAAGCTGGAAAGAGTTATAAAAGTATCTCCAAAAGCCTTGCTGTTCATTAGTCCACGGTAAGACAAATTGTCTATAAATGGAGAAAGTTCAGCACTGCTGCTACTCTCCCTAGGAGTGGCCGTCCTGTAAAGATGACTGCAAGAGCACAGCACAGACTGCTCAATGAGGTGAAGAAGAATCCTAGAGTGTCAGCTAAAGACTTACAAAAGTCACTGGCAAATGCCAACATCCCTGTTAGCAAATCTACAATACATAAAACACTAAAAAAGAATGTATTTCATGGGAGGATACCACAGAGGAAGCCACTGCAGTCCAAACAAAACATTGCTGCATGTTTACAGTTTGCACAAGAGCACCTGGATGTTCCACAGCAGTACTGGCAAAATATTCTGTGGACAGATGAAACTAAAGTTGAGTTGTTTGGAAGAAACACAAAACACTATGTGTGGCGAAAAAAAGGCACAGCACACTAACATCAAAACCTCATCTCAACTGTGAAGTATGGTGGTGGGGGCATCATGGTTTGGGGCTGCTTTGCTGCGTCATGGCCTGGACGGATTGCTATCATCGAAGGAAAAATGAATTCCCAAGTTTACCACGACATTTTGCAGGAGAACTTAAGGCCATCTGTCTACCAGGTGAAGCTCAACAGAAGATGGGTTTTGCAACAGTTCAATGACCCAAAGCATAGAAGTAAATCAACAACAGAATGGCTTAAACAGAAGAAAATACGCCTTCTGAAGTGGCCCAGTCAGAGTCCTGACCTCAACCCGATTGAGATGCTGTGGCATGACCTCAAGAAAGCGATTCACACCAGACATCCCAAGAATATTGCTGAACTGAAACAGTTCTGTAAATAGGAATGGTCAAGAATTACTCCTGACCGTTGTGCACGTCTGATCTGCAACTACAGGAAACGTTTGGTTGAAGTTCTTGCTGCCAAAGGAGGTTCAACCAGTTATTAAATCCAAGGGTTCACATACCTTTTCCACCTGCACTGTGAATGTTTACATGGTGTGTTCAATAAAAACATTCTTTGTGTGTTTTTAGTTTCAGCAGACTGTGATTGTCTATTGTTGTGACTTAGATGATGATCAGATCACAATTTGTGCAGAAATCCATATCATTCCAAAGGGTTCACATACTTTTTCTTGCAACTGTAGAAGATGTTAAAGGGACACTATAGTCACCAGAACAACTACAGCTTATTGAATTTGTTCTGGTGAGTAGAATCATTACCTTCAGGCTTTTTGCTGTAAACACGGTCTTTTCAGAGAAAATGCAGTGTTTACATTACAGCCTAGTGATAACTTCACTGGTCACTCCTCAGATGGCTGTTAGAGATCATTCCTGGGTCATGGCTGTCTAAAATGCATCCAAACATTCAGTATCTCCTCCCTCTGCATGCAGACACTGAACTTTCCTCATAGAGATTCATTGATTCAATTCATCTCTATGAGGAGATGCTGATTACCCAGGGCTGTGTTTGAATTGTGCTGGCTCTGCCTCCTTGTCAGTCGCAGCCAATCCTATGGGGAAGCATTGTGATTGGATCATGCAACCACTTCTGATGATGTCAGCAGACAGCTTGTTTTTTCTGAGGCAAACAGCATGCAAATCTACAGCTTCAGGCTTGAATACAAGTAAGATTTTGCAATATTTATGGAGGCCTGAGGGCTCCAGGTGGGCTAGATGGTGGGTTTAAACCTATAGAGTCAGGAATACATGTTTGTGTTTCTGACCCTATAGTGATCCTTTAACTAAACAACACTCTAGGTTGAGACCTTAGAATCTGATAAATATTTTGTAGACCATTCAACTTGGATAATAATAATTCACCTAAAGGAAACAAGGAGTACTAATTCAGACTCACAAAAAGGAATATAAATAACTGTGTCACATGGATAATCGATATCAATAACCTAGATACCAGTTCATTACCACTGACAACTGTTGTCACACACTAAATTAGAGTTAATCTTTAACTCTAATTCACTGTCCACCATGGAAGGTTCATTTGTGCTTACCAGTGATGAGGGACTCCTCTGGGTACACAAACTGTGCAGGTTTTATGAAATGATGCTTCTTCAATAGGTTTATTGGTTTGAATCCAATTAGCACCAAACTAGGATCATCAAACCGCTTCAGTTGCTCAGTCTCCTCCTTCTCTAGAACAATCTTACGATTTCCATATGTCTGTATACAAGTGAAAGGTAGAAAAATTAGTAACAACAATATAGTGCTCTTTGGTCTTTTAGGGTAGCAAATAATAGTATTAACAATGTAGTTTATGCTGACTCTTGCTTTTAAGTGCACACAATACAATAGGAAGTCAGCGCTAATTAACAGACTATATGTAAATGGCAAGCAACCCAAACGAAGGAAACTCCTAAAATCCTTCAACAAATCAAGAAAGCAATACGAGGAGATGTCCTACTCCATCTCTTCGTATTGCTTTCTTGCCTTTAAATGTACACAATTATTAATGTAGATGCACATATATCAATCAAGTAGGAAAGAGAGTGTCCTGTATTAAAGCGGTACAAGGAATACTGGTCAGCATTACAGGTAAACACTGGTGGGAAGGTGCTGCAAGCAGAGATTGACTTTTTCAATAGATGCACCCTTTCTTCTAAATGTGACCTCTTTTTGTGCACTATATAAACTGTATTAGAAATATATGAAATAGAATGACTTCCTGCAAATGTCTATTTAAGGAGGTGTTCCACTTGATTAAAGTGCAATAGTTTAATGGACCTGATTGGCAGTACAATGTATGTGAACATCATATTATTCCTGCTGCAGTCCATGCACCGATGGAAGCAAATGCTGAATAATTAATTTGTTGTTATAGGTATCCCTGTAGCAATTACGGTAATTCTTTTACAATAAAATATTTACCACCCTGCACTTTACAATAAAATATGTACCACTCTGCACATTAATTCAGGTAAGTTATTAAGTTTTAATATAAAATTATTTATGTGTTACTTAAAGTGGCAGGCTTAGCACCGTAGCAATTGAAACCCAGTGTTGTGGCTATGGTGTAGAGAGGAAATGGGCACCATCCCACAGTGTTCCGTCAATCCATAACCCAACAAATCTCAAGCAGTGTTGGCACAGAAATGATATCTGTCATGCAAAAAGTGTAAATTCGGTATTATCAAGTCAGCTGAAGAATAAGAGATTTCTGGGTGCAGGGGAGAGTGCTAGTTTTGTCAAACTATTCCCAAACAAATAAATGTAGTGTTTTAGTGGTTATCTAAAAATATGCTTTATGTTATGATTTGACATCTTTGCACCTGAGATCGTTTTGTATCACTGGGAAGAAGAAGACTTCCTGTTTCCTTGCTGAATGTTCGTGTCTTTGTCTTTACCGGTTCATTGGACTCACGGTACAATTTCACAGGGGCGGGTTTCACGGCTTTATGAACCAAGTTAAATACCCCCACTGAGAGACACACTTCATTCCCTAGTTTAAAGTTAAGTCTGCCAAAAATGGAGGGGAGGAGAGAACACAAATTATAAAACCAGTAAGAAAAAGTAAAAAGAACAATAAATCCAAACATGGAAATACAAGCTGAGAGTAGTTCATGACATGACACTAACAGGGAATTGATGAGGACACTTACTTTGGTCATACTGTATCAGGAACATTTTGTAACATAGCAGACAAAGCCATGTAACTAATAGATTATATCTGGAAATTGTGTAACTGATATACATGAATGTATGACTTCTGTTATATCTTACTGATAAGCTAAGTTGTAAGTTTAATAAAAAATAAAATAAATAAAAATGGGAAGTGGTTTTAACATTTATAATTTAGGTCCTTTCTTGGTTAAAATGCTTGGCCATTAGCAGTGACACTGTAGGCCAAAAGGTAGATCCCCGGATGTTTTGAAACTAAAGTTTCCATGATGCTTTGTTATTCTAAAGGCAATCTCAAGACATGCAAAGGATCATGGGAGTTGTAGTTCTACAACATCTGGGAATCTAACTTTTGGGCACCCTTGCTGTAGGCACTAGAACAATTTAATCTCATTGAATTGGTTATAGTGACTGGAGTCCCATGGCGCTGTCCCTCCACTCCATGTTAAACCACTATTCAGCAGTCTAACATTGAATAAGGGTTCCTGGCTTTACTTAGCCCCATCTCCACGGAAGGTCTGGCCAAGCAGATATAACACTTTATTCTAGCCATACTGATTCTTACCATAATGATTCATCCTGTATAGGCTAAGTGAGGTCAGTTGACACTATTGGACAGTAACTGCTGCCCATTGCTGCTCCGGCTAATTCTTCCGAATTAGCCTGTGCAGCACAGGAGTGGGTTGTCAAATACTTTTTTTTACCAATAAAATATTAAAAACGGTTTAATGCTGCATGAAAGGACAACATCAGGGTACTCCAGACACTAACCAATTTAATCAGATGAAGCAGTTATGGAGCCTACAGTAACCTTTAAGGGCTTAAACATGGGTTGTATTAAATATGAATGAGCAATTAGGCAGGCAACATTTTCAGGAAAAAAAAGATTTAACCACTTAGGGACACAGCTTCAAAAAACTGGACTTACCCTTAAGGACACAAGCCCTTTTTGCATTCTTTGCTGTTTGTGTTCAACACATATTATATACAGTTTTTCAAAGGGCAAAAAGGGCATTAATTTGATGTCACATATACATAGACAAATTCTCAATTATAAAACAAATGCCCAAAAAATGGAAAAAAAAATAAATAAAAAAATTCCACAGTTTTGGCAATAATAGCGTGTGCATAATATGTCCAGCTTAAAAAAAAAGGAATTCTAAATAAATTCATTTATGTGTCTTGATTTATAGAGTACATAATATGTATAGGATTTCAGCTTATTTTGAAAGTTACAGGTCACAAAATAAAAGGGTTAAAATAAAATTTCAATGTGAAACTATTTTAGAAGTTGGTATGTTTGTCTTGTAGGTTTAGTAGCCATCACAGAAAACAAAATTGCCTCACAAAAGTATATATTTATATATATATAGTAGACATCACAGGCTATTTACCTAAGGTTATTTTGATAATTTTTATGTAGCCATTTCATCGCCAATATCTGCTAAATATTTGAGTAAAATTGTGTTTTTTCTCTATTTTGGCATATACACATATAACAAGGTTTTTGTAATGTATATTTCGTAAAGCTGGTGTGTGCTATTCCTGCACAGAACCCCATATTGTGTTCAGTTACATCTGCTGATTTTAACGATACACCCATTGTATGCCTTTGGCAGAATTCTGTGAAGCTACAATGCCATATAAGAGACAAGGCTATTTCAGTTTCTATAGTTAGTAGATGGATTTGATGGGCCTATGTTTCATTTTGAGGTATTATAGTTGTTTGTTCAAATAACCTCACAAAGGGTTTCCTTTTATGGTATATAGAGTGCCTTAAATTGTCACCATTTTTTCACCAATTTATGTAAATGTTTGTGGTGAGGGGAAAAACATTTTTCAGCCTTTTTGAAACACAAAGTGAGTTTGCACAGTATATTTTGCAAACCTTATGTGTGCTACGGCTGTAAAACATTTCATATGTTGCTCAGTTATGTCGTCAGAGTACAACAATACCCCCGTTTGTACCTTTGTCAGGTATATGTGGATGTTAAAGGGGCACATTTGAGACACAGCCATTCAGTTTTTTTCTAACCAAATGTGGTAATAAGCATTTTTTCTGCCTTTTTGACTCAAAGTGAGTTTGCACAATATATTTTGCAAATCTTATGTGTGCTATGGCTGTAAAATATTTCATATGTTGCTCAGTTATGTCGTCAGAGTACAACAATACCCCCGTTTGTACCTTTGCCATGTATATGTGGATGCTTTGTTATTCTAAAGGCAATCTCAAGACATGCAAAGGATCATGGGAGTTGTAGTTCTACAACATCTGGGGATCTAACTTTTGGGCACCCTTGCTGTAGGCACTAGAACAATTTAATCCACATATACAAAAAAAATTTAAAAAAAATTCAGATCACAGTAAAATATAGCCCCTGCCAATTGATCACTGAAGTCAGTGATCATTTGACAGGGAAGGGGTTATTTTTATTTAAAAATCGGTAAAGCAGGGGTGGGATTTCAAACTAACTTTATTTTTTTTACAGAGGGAGAAGATCTCTGCTGATCCATCTCCCTGCACTTCACACTGAACGCGGAAGCACAGGGAGGCGGATCACAAGTCCCTACAGCACATGTGCTCGCTCTGACAGCCTGTAAAGCTGTCAGATGCTCACCCAGTCTCCACTCCTTCAAAAAATCGTTAAAAATCCACTTCTTCATAAAAGCGTATCAATTAAACGGTTAATCGCTCCTGACTGATTCGTCTTCTGCAACGGTCACTAGTCTAACACTGTTCTTACCTTTTTGTGTAATTTTACCCCACTCCCTCTAGCATGTAAGCTCATTGAGCAGGGCCCTCAACCCCTCTGTCCCTGTGTGTCCAACTTGTCTGGTTACAACTACATGTCTGTTTGTCCACCCATTGTAAAGCGCTGCGGAATTTGACGGCGCTCTATAAATATATCATAATAATAATAATAAAGTGTATACAACATACAGCACAGATATGCACCTACACCCCAACCTTATGGACATACTCAACTTCTCACTATTTTAATAACTTGCAAGTGTAATAAACCTAGTTGCTTACCGATTAGGATTTAAACTATAAATGTGAAATTGCAGTCATGATCCAATAAAACCACATATGGAGTCATTTGAAAGCACCTGTCAGTGCTAGTTAATTTTGTACCTGTATATCACCATATTCTGAATTTCCACCACCAGTCAACTTAATGATTCCCTACGTGTTAAAAGCTACATAGGTTGATTAGTTAGATCTGATATTGTACCTGGTCAGTGCCCTCTTCCTATTTTCCTTGGCCCGCACTTTTCTCATGAGGTCATCTAGCTTTTCTGAAGCTGTAAACTGCACCCCCAAATCTTCATCATCATCGATGTTTATAATGTCACGGTAAAACAAGGATATATCAAAGCCACCAGGTTTCTCCAGATGCAACAGGTCAAGAAAGATTCCTTAAATAAAGTCATACAGCGATGTTTTACAGAAACACAACACACAGACAGCTCCAATAGTAGATGATTGCCTACAAACTATGCTTTTCAGCAGCTCGGGGGCATAACATTCTGTCAGTTTTCCCGAAGTGCTAGGATTGAATTATCAATGTGTGACTTGTTAGTTGATTTACGGGTATACACTATTTTACTGGGTCCCCCCCTCCCCTTTTTTTTGCTTTATCTTTTATAGGTTTCATCCTTCATTAATTCCTAACCTCTCTTGTTTACCTCTGCCCCATAGTTTCTCAGCCTCCTAAATATCTCACTATAATACCATGTATCCTCCTTATACGTTCTTCTTCACTCACTTGAATGCTGAACATTCTTTGATGGCTATGGATGGAGGAGCAAACATAATATATACAGCTGACTCAACTCAGCAATCACCATTAACTGTATTCCGATTCATCAGTGCATAACCCAGTGAACCACTGTTAACCACATATCAAGGTACAAGGGCTGCCACAGGTGCCTTAAAATTTTTTTATTTTATTTTTTAATACTCTTTTGGTAGCTACTAGTCTTCCTCCTATTTTGTGTCCTGGTGGATGGGTTCTGCAAGCTGATATAGGAACTCTGCTCCTGGTCTTTGACTTATCAGTCTGAAAAACAAGTCTAACAAATCACTGTTGTTCACTTTGACACACATCTGTCCCATTACTTTTGGTCCCTTAAAAAGTGGGAGGCACTTTTATACAAACTGTTGTAATTCCTACACCGTTCACCTGATTTGGATGTAAATACCCTCAAATTAAAGCTGAAAGTCTGCAGTTAAAGCACATCTTGTTTATTTCATTTCAAATCCATTGTGGTGGTGTATAGAGCCAAAAAGATTAGAATTGTGTCGATGTCCCAATATTTATGGACCTGACTATATATATGAACAATGGATGCATACTATACACATTTGTATGCTTACCCATTTCCCGAAGATCTTTAGCTTTGGCAATTGCCTGTGTGATCTTGGCAGGGTTCTTGGAATGAGGGTGGTCTTCATTGGTAAACAGCATGATGCGTTTATGACTCGTTTTAGTTTTCACATGGCTAAAGAGGTTTGAGCACTGCCAAAGTGCATCCCCAAGAGAGAAGTCCTCGCTATGTCCTATTGTGTCAGAAAACAGAGATCTCCCTTTCTCATCCTTGTACTTGTCCAGTTCTAAAACTCTTTTTGAACCTGAATAAAGAAGAATAGGATCTGATTTATAAAATACGTTTTTGTACATTCAACTTGGACTAAAAACTAGCTGGTTCACAATAACAAATATATAGTTAGGGATTAAAATAATAATTCCTATGAAATCACGTTTTGGTATAAGCACAAAGAGTCAACTCTTGAACTCTGGCTTTCTTATTCTTTCAGACAAACTGATAGTTATTCAATTTTAATAGGCGTTAATGAGTAAGATACACTGTCTCAAAGAATCATAGAACATACCACCGAAAAACGGACTGACCATAAAAAAAATTGAATGTTCAGTGAAAATTGAAAATCTAATTAGCATAAGTACAAAAAGTGTCTCAGTCCAGTAGGCTGTACATATTTGTATGTTGATGCATTGAGACCGGTGAAAGGGACACTACAGTCATCAGAACAACTACAGCTAAATGTTGCAGAGAAAAGGCAGTGTTTACATTACTGCTTAGGAACACCACTAGAAGTGCTTCATTGGTCAGTGTTGCACAATGTGACATAGAATGCTCCCCATAGAGATGCTAATTGGCACAGCGCGGCAGTTTTCCGTGCACCTGCAATAGCCCCCCAATGCTTTCCTATGGGAAAGCATGGGATTGGCCAACATCATCAAGCTTGATGATATAAGCAAAGGAGGCGAAGCAGAGACGCGCACAGCACAAAATAATTTTTATTTTTATTTTTAAAATAGGTGAGTAAAACCCCTTTTAATAAAGGGAACAAGTGGGGCCAGCCACCTAAACAGCATCATTAGAACTATAGTGTCAGCAATACATGTTTGTATTCCTGACACTATAGTGTTCCTTTAAAGTGGGTTTTATTTACTACAGTCGGGTCAGGCTGGTACAGAAATAGTTTTGTTTCAACTGCGAGTAATTAAAACAGTGTACTACAAAAATGTTAGATTGCCCTGGAGATTCAGCATATTATTTACCAGTTCATCCCTTATAAGCCTTGCAGTAATAGCAAAAATGTAATCCCCTATCACTGCCTTAAACATGACAAATGACAAAAGTTCCTCTGTACGCTCAGCTTGTCATCAATGCTCAATCCAAATATTTACATGTTAATAGATTTGCATGAATTTCAGTTTGCTTTTATTGGGCATATTAAAATTACACATTGAAATGCTAAAATATACTACATGTCCAAGATACATAAACCAACCTTCATGAATGTACTTTGAAATGTACCGGTTTATTGGGTTACAGAAAATACTACAGAACAAAATCTAATATACTGTAATTACATGGTCATGTATACAGAAAACAAATACATACGTGTATTTTACTTCAGTTCTAATATTGTCTGCATTTCCCTACCTGGGCTTTCCAGATCATGAAGAACATAGATATGTTTGAAAGCATCAGACTTGCTCTCCTTGGTACCAAAGAACACCAGAGATAAGAGGTCTTGTGCACTGCTTATGATCTTAGTGGTGTAGACGTTACGAATACACTGGTAAAAAAAGAAAAGTACAGTTCACAGCAATGGACTTTAGTTTAATGACTGAATTTTAGCCTAGTAATATATAAAATGTAATTTGTACATTGTTCTAACTCAGGACCTGGACCTGGCACCCAGTGATTTAAATACTAAATGGCAGAGAAATAAACAGTGAGACTATCACTGTATATCTATGAAAAAGCAGAAATATCAGAAAAATTAAAAAGGTGGAGCAAAATATTATTGTAGGAATGTTTACATATTTCACCTGAAGAGTAAGGTCAAATGGAGACAATCCATCATTGTTGAGTTGGTTAAACATAGACTTAGAGGCATCAACAAGGAATATTAAGCAGTCTCGACCGCCAAAACGATACTCTAAAAATAAAAAAAGTCAACTTTATATTTGGAAGAAAAAAAAAGAAAGAAGAAGAATAAAGAAAGGAAGACAAGTTAGGTTTAACTTTTCTTGTAATACATAGTTTTGGTTTGTTTTTGAGTTACATTTTAATTAAAGATTTTATACACATACAAAGAATAATTTGAAAACATATTACAAAAATAAGAAATACAAATAAAGAACCATGAACAGTTCACACACACAAAAAACAAAAAAAAAACGGCTTTACATTTTACAAGGCTACTCAAAATCACCTATCCTATAAAAATAGCTCAGGTGGGCTTGACACAATGTGGCCATATGACCTAGTTCAGGGCTTGACAAATTTGTTTGGATTCTAGGAGCCAGCTAAAAAGTTAGGAGCCAGTTTTTTCAAATTAATTTTAAGTTTAGTTTTCAACGAGAAAAATGCAATTCTTAAGTGACACTATAGACACCACTACAGCTTAATGTAGTTATTCTGGTGTCTATAGCCTGTACCTGCAGGCCTTTCATTGTAAACACTGTGTGCAGTACCTACGTTCAGAGTCTCCACACTCTGCATGGAGGCGTTGAATGTTCCCCATAGAGATCACTGATTTAAAACATCTCTATGAGGAGATGCTGACTGGCACAGTTTCGCTGCGCATGCGCAATATCCTCCCAATGCTTTCCTATAGAAAAGTATTGGGTTAGCGGAGATTATAAAGATAGATGATCTCAGCCATGGAGACAGGACCAGCCACGGCGATAAAAGGTGAGTAAAACACCTTTGTCGTGCGATTGGAGGGGGCAGGTACCTATACACACACACTGACAAATGGGCACACACAAACACACTCTCGGACAGGGGCACACACACACGCACGCACTCTCTGACAGGGGCACACACACTGACAGACTGACATTTTTATTTTAATTAAAAAATCCACCCAGCCTCCCTACCTTTGGGCAAGCTGAGTGGATTTTTTCCCTGAGGTCCCATGGGGCTACTGTCCCTGCGTGAGAGGGAGCAGTAATCTAGCTGCAGCTCCTCTCTGCTCCCTCAGGTTCTCTAGAGTGATGCAGGGGGCCAAAGTGACATCATATTCCGACTCCTGGCATCATTAAACAGTGCGCAAGGAAGCAGAGAGGAGCTCCTTGCACGCCGCCTACAATGCTCCCGCGGGCGGACACCATGCTCCCGCGGGCGCCACGCTGCCCCAATTGTATAAAGAATATGGCCAACGTAACCCTGTTGAGCACGGATGTGGCCGGCTCCAGTGTTCCCCACTGAGGCCAGCTTTAATGCTTCCTCGGGTGGCCTCCTTAATTAAAAGGCTGACATCCAGGGCGCCAGGGCGAAATTTCTAGTCGCCATGGCGACCTGGCGCCTGTGATTTGTCGAGCCCTGATCTAAGTGAGTCCCTGTGCTTGTTTGCAAGGATAGGTGATTATGGGAAGCCTTATAAAATTTTAAACTATTCTTTTTGTGTAGCGCTGTTCCTTGGTCTTTATTTGGTATTTGCAGTGTACCAATTCTGGGTTGTGGTATTTTCCAGTTGTGACCCCAATTTCCTTTTTTCCTGTAAAAAATTAGAAATACGTCATGATGTGGGGGTGTACTTGCGTTCATTTGCTGCATCCTTCTTAGTGGATATACTTAAAAAAAAGTTTTGCCTAAATGGTGGGTATAGCAACACCTAAACTAGTACTGAACGCACAAAAACAGTCTTATTAAAGTAATTGTGACAGAGCTGCCATACTTTTGCAGAGTACCTCTGCACAGTCTGCTTCCTCACTGCTTTAAGGAATCCTGGAGCACTTCAGACTAAGTCGCAAAAGCTTGACTGAGATCTCTGAGGGTCTTTTCCACCCTGTGATTCTATCTCTGGAAACCCTATCTCCAGCAGTGCAGTGATCATAGCCCGTTTCCCAGACAACACTTGGTGAAGATTAAAACCAAAAACCACCTTTATTGAAAACAGCACATCTATTCATACTCCAAGCCTCATTTACATACAGCAGAATTCCAGTGGTACCTAATAGCAATAGGACATATCCTAGGTCAACCAATAACAGTATGGACTTTAGATATCAACCAATCATACTACAAAGCTTACAACCAGTGTGAATTGAGCACTGTAATTTCCAGGAAGGCTGGGGACATACAATAGCAAGGGTTGAGCACCACATGATTTAAATGAGTGGCAATGCAATCACTTGGAACTGGTCTGAAGGTGTCCCTGGAACAGTGCCCTTCTGAGAGAACAATAAGACAGGAACATGGTAGAGAGGGAAAGGCATATACAACCTAAACAATCAATACATTCAGTTTAATACACAGGACCAAATCATATTGGGGAACATACAGGCATTCATAGTAACACAATGAAACAACAGACAAAGGGTCTTTGGGTACTGGGATTCGGTTGTAATACAACAAACATCCGGTGCCCCTTACCCACAAGGACAACAGCAAGTTTTAGGGGCTTCTGTTACCAGGCCCATAGTCTGTGGGCAGTAAGCTAGTTTTGACACCTCTCCAGAAGGCTGTGACACGGGAGCTTTCCTCACAATGCCATTTGTATGTGTAAATACAAAATGGAGTAGCTCTGTGCATATAACCGATATAAATTAGGGGGATTGCACGGCAACATACCCCTACCTCTTATGAGTACATATTTGCAGGTCCAACCTAAACAAATGTGACTAAAAAGTTGCCATGTGTCTTGTCCCAAGAAGGTCCCATCTTTTCATCTTAATCAGGAACTGATTTTAATAGCTTTTTAGTCTGATTCTAGAAGTTGTAATGAAGCTATATCCAAGAAATTACAATGAATATATATATAAAAATATTTTCACACGTACCACTAGTTTCTGCTTCTCCATCTTCTTGTTCCTCTTCCTCATCACCCTCCTCCTTAAAATAATAAGACCCCCATTCAGGCATGATTTAGGAGTTCTGCAAGAGATAGGAATATTAGCTAGCCTAATCTGCAAAGCTCAATGGACAGACAATATAAAAACAAAACTGCATACACAAAAAGAGAATGCAAATCACATAATAAAATGCTAAATGTTTACCAAAATGGGGGGTGGGGCCTGGCTGCCAACCGAGATGGCCGCATGCAGAGTGTGCAAGACCCCACAACTTGCCAAAAGGCCCGAGGGAAACTCTAGCACGGCTGGACGCTATTTTTACAGAATTTTGGCGCAAGTTCGAAGAGAGGCAATGGAGTGCCAGCATGCAAAACTACTCACAGGCCTCCAGGTGAGTTGCCGCTGAGTCGAAGGAGGCAAGGGGGCCGGCTGGATTCCACCGACTCGCTATGGCGGAGCCCTACCGCCGGCGGCACAACGCGCACCCTTGGAGAGACCCTGCCCATCACAAGGAGAGGCACCAAGAAGGAGGGTCGCTGGCCCAGGTGAAGACCAACGCTACTTCCCAAGCCTGTATTCACCTGAGTTCACCAGGGACAGACAAGGTCTTGTACTCAGCCGGCCTGATCGGACACTCCACGGACTGAGACTGTAGATACCCAATGAGGGGAATCGGGTAGCTGTAAACGTAGGGCCATATCCTGTCACAGGCCTCCCACCACGTTAGGCCACACACAGCAATACCTATCCTAGCTAGCCTAACTTGATCTCCCCATAGCTTGATACTTAATACCTCTGGCCGAACAGGCACCCAGTAACGTCATTAAGCTCTATTATCCCTTATTGTTTTATCTTACTTATTTTGCTAACCATAAGGAATTGCATTCTCCCATCATCACAGTTAGCCAAGGCTGTATAAATGTCAGCAGGGCCAGTAGCGAATAAATGTGGTGTGCAACTCCAGCATGATAAAACACGCATTATAGTCAGATCTTCTGTTTTAGATGCACAGTTAAGCTTGTTTTAATATACCTAAAAAATGTGCACAATCCTCTAACGCTATGACACAACATTTTGATGTCTGTTTATTGAATGATTATTGCTGCCATCATGGCATTTCGAATCTGTATGTCAATCCTTTGCACAATAAAAATAAAAAAAAAAAAAAAAGTGTTTACCAAAATGATTTTAGATTATTTTCTTGCATCTAGATTTTTTTTTTTTTTTTTTAAATCCTCTTTAAGGGGTTACTCCAAGCACCATGACAAAGCCAATGCTTTAAAGTGTTCATGGTGCTTGAAGTCTAATTTGTAAACTTAATTCTCTTTTAAATGGGAGACAAATTTTAATTATCTCTCTGGTTACTTGGAGGTCATGTGAACAGCCCCAAACATATACTTTACTTTGCTTGATAGCTCATGTGTATTCCCGTGTATTTGCACATCCATTCACTTTTACCACTAAGTACAAAAAAATGTAAGGTATTCTATAGGGTAAGGATTACAAGGTCATATCCCTCTGACCCCCAATGCTCTCCTATGGGGATTTTACTGACGCTGCATGTCCACTTGCAAAACGTGAGGAATTCTAGAGTCAGTTAGGCGATCAAAAAAGTTGGACATCCACTATGAAGTGCCTCTAGTGGCTGTATGATTGACAGCCACTAAAGGCAGTCTTAGTCTTGCAATGTAATCATTGCAGTTTCTCTAAAATTGCAATGATTTACATTGCAGGACTAAGTGGGACTGAGACAGTGCACCCAGACTACTTCAAAGAGATGAAGTGGTCTGGACGACTATACTGTTCCTTTAAATGTCTTGTTTAAATAAAAAAAAATTTTTAAAAATGATAAATACACATAGAATATAGAAGGCTGAAAGCATTAAATTAGAGCTTGTTTTGGCTCCAAATAATGGAGACATGATCTGAAAAAAGGAAAGAGAGGTTATTTTGCAAAAAAAAAAAAAAAAAAAGTCATTAATTTTATATTTTTTTTTTTTATGGGTTATAGTGGAGAATGGAGAAAAGTCTTGAGAATACAAATGCATGCTTAACTGGTTGCACAGGACGAGTAAGTTTTGGAGCTAAAACTGGCAGCAAAGAAAGGGTTAAATGAATACTGCAAGCACCATAACCAGAGTCTGGTTACCCCGCCATTGTACGGAGTCACCGTATTAAAATGCCAGCCACTTCCTGCCTCCACTACTTTACAGAGAGTGCGGGAAGATCTGTCTGAGAATAAGGCATGCAGGGCATAGCTCACTGGCTGAGAATGATCTCCTGACACTCTTAGCAAATGAGCAAGCTTAGCACAAGACAGCTAATGGACACGTCTGCTTGGGAACTTCGAAATCTCTGTCGGCAGTAGTGGAGGCGAGGAGCAGTATCTGGTGGGCGCACTGTAGTGGTTATGGTGCTTGTTCTTCCTTTTAATCACCATTGAAACATTGTGAGTGGCTGCACGCAGAATATAATGCTACACTCAGCAGGTGCTTCTAATAAAATAAGATAACATAATAAATTAGTCAGTTTCGATGTAGATCATGCCCCTGCAGGCTCACTGCTACATTATCTGCCATTATTTAGGAGTTACACCACATTGCTGATGCAGCCCTCGGTATTATTTTATATAAAGGTGTAGCGGTGTATTCCCTCAGTATGAGCAGTTTCCCTCGTGCTTGGCCCATACTGAGTGAATGCCCGCTATAGAGTTACCCAGCAGCCTGTCACTCGGCGGTACCTGGGATCCAGCCACTTCCGCATCAGAGCGCGCCTGCGTACGTACAACGACGTCACTACTCGTCGCCAGAGCTGATGGGCGGGGCATGATGTATCAGCATGTTCAGTGCATGACACTGCAGCTTCCTCATTGGTAGTGACAGTGCAAAGAGGGCGTGGCCTGCAGCCATGTTGCGGTTTGTTGTTCCGTGGGTGGGCGTACCTCTGGCCGCTCTCCGGGCGGTGATTGGACAGCCTCGCCGCAGTGGGCGTGTCGCTCGCACGGTGAGACTGTGCAGTGTTTCCGGGCTGTCAAACACTGGCTGGCGGAGCTCGGTGTCTCTGCCGGTATCGCACTGTGTATGAATGGAGTCAGCGCAGAGCACCCGCCCGGTCCGGCTCTATGTGTACGACCTGTCCCGGGGCCTGGCCCGCAGGCTCAGCCCTGTCATGCTCGGTAAGGGGGGGAATGCCATTGGGAATGGTGGGAGGGGGGTCTGTCTGGGTAATGGGGACAGTGTCTGAATGGACAGTATGCTCAATGCTGGGTCAGGGGCCTCCACATATCACAGCAAATACCACTATAGAGAAATAGAATACTATATAAAAATAGAATACTATATAGAATACTATATAGAATACTATAGAGAAATAGAATACTTTATAGACTACTATAGAGAAATAGAATACTATAGAGAAATAAAATACTATAGAGAAATAGAATACTATAGAGAAATAAAATACTATATAGGGAGGGGGAGCCAAAGGGACACAGAGGCTAATGATATGTGTGATAACAAATTGCAAAATTCAGGCTAAAATAGACATAACTGATTTGTAGAGATTTTCCCCCAAAATCAACTATTCTGGCCTGAATTCACAGTTTGTCTGTTAAAGGAACACTATAGCGTTATGAATACAAATATGTATTCCTAACGCTATAGAACCCTAGTCACCTAAACTGTGACTAGGGCCCCATTCAGCAGCAAATAAATGGTTAATTAATTGGCATTTAATTCTCTGAAATTGCTATGTTTACAGCCGCAGGGTTACAACTAGAGGGACCTGGCACCCAGACCACTTCATTGAGCTAAAGTGGTCTGGGTGCCTGTAGTGGTTCTTTAATGTAACACTATGCTAAAGTCTAGGCAGTGTCTATCAGGTAGACAGGCACCAGAGGTAGTTTCAATGGTCTGGGTGACAATTCCAATCTAATATTCACTTTGAATTCCTGACAATTGTCACTTTAGTGAATAACTAGTCTCTATAAACTGTGTGGTGCATTGCTGAATCTGTTGCTGTAATGATATTTAGCGAAGCTCTGTGCTGCATGCACTAATCCACAGAAATAAACAACGCAGTTGTGCCACAGGAATACAATAAAATACTGTTATCAGTAATCAAGTGAAATAGTCCAAAATAAAAAAGGAATACCCCTTTAAATGCAAGATAAGCATCTTGGGTAGATGGTAGGGATGGATGGTAGATTCTTCTACTTGAAAGTAGGTTCCTTGGTAAGATCCGTATAGATATGAAAAACGGGAAATACAATAGTGCAATAAATCAATATAAGCGTGGTGTATGTAGAAAAACAGCAATATCTTGCGTTTAATGGAGCTATGACCAGCTCCAGTTGTAGTAGTGTACAGTGGTATAATCCCCACGTACGGGATATGTGGATAAGTGTCCAAAGAAAAGGTAGTTTTGTCGAACCCAAAATGGCAAGAATATGAAAAGGCAGCTAATAGTGCTCCCTGTTGCAATAAAGAATGCTACAATAATAATTATAGTGAATACTCAAAACTATAGACTGCTCTATGGATAAGGTTCCAGTGGTATGACCCCCACCTAGGATTTCTTTAGAGTAATCAGGAAGTACATAGGATAAAATAAATAATTTTTAAACAAAAGGTAATTAGGCACAGTACCAAAAATTCTTTATTAGATAAAACAAGAAAGTAATAATTTCCATAACGCGTTTCACCGCGTAGAGCATTATCAAATGGAAGAAATACCATTTGGCACTGTTTAATAAATTTACCTTTTATTCCGGCGCTGCACAGGTCTGCCGCAGCTACCCCTGCCCTGTTCCACCCCGTTGGCTGGGATCTTCACAATTGACGATCTCAGCCAATCCATTGCTTTCCCATCGGAATGCATTGGGAGATTATTGCGTCTGCGCAGCAAAATGCCATGCTACGCCAATCAGCATCTCATCATAGAGATGCATTGAATTAATGCTTCTCATTGGGAACGTTCAGTGCCTCCATGCAGAGCGTGGAGACGCTGAATGTCAGTGCTGCAGCACTGACCTTGGAATCGCCTCTACTGGCCGTCTGAGTGACTGTGTTCCTAGGCAGTAATGTAAACACTACCTTTTGTCTAACAAGGCAGTGTTTACATTAGAGTGCCTTTAGGCACATGCTATACACACCAGAACAACTACAGTAAAGTGGCACTTTCATGCCTAACTTGCATTTCTCTATTGTTTTCTCTTCCTCTCTCAGAATCAGTTTTTTCTTTATTTAGTTTTCTAGTCTGCTTCATTTCCTGTGGTCATAGACATTTTCCCACAATACTCACCTCTCCTCCATGATCTTCTGTTGCTTCATTCGCAATTCTAACGTCCTGTCATTTAGACAGGGCGACAGCGAATTGACTAAATTTCCTCCTAACAGAATGTCGAACGTTTATCCATTTGTGTTAGAACGAAATCCGTGCATTTTGTTAGTTTCCTATTTGTGCTGCGACTTGTCTACTAAACCGTCAGCAGCCGGCAGGTGGGGTCCTAATTGACAATGAGGGGGGGAGGGTTGTACTGTCTCCCCCCCTTTGGAACAGACTTAATCTCTCCTCCTTTGGTCAAAGAAGGTCAAGTGTAAGAAAAATACCTAAGACAAGTAGTCCCTACTTTGTCTGTGGTTTAAAGAAAACTAGATAAGATAGGAAGAAAAAAAGAACACAGTTGTATTGAGTCATTCTTCGAGCTCCATGTTAGTTCATCACTTGTTATTCAGAATCCTATATTTGTTTTGCTGATTTTGTTTTATTTTCTCTTTTTTTCGTTTTGTTTGTTTTTCTTGCTTTTTCTCTCAAAATCTAGTTAAATGGACACTACAGATTGGAAGTATTTATTAAAAAATTTTTTTTAAAAATACAAATTCCGTAAAATAAAATTAAAAATACCTTTTAGACTTTCTTGAGCTCAGGTAAGTATGCATGTCTTCAATTCCCTTTCCACCCAGCTGCTCTATATAAAGCTTTCGCCTTCATTGGCTTTTACAAAATATGCAAAAAACAAAAAAAGTGCTGCTTTAAAGAAACACGAGCATTATTGTGTCACATAACATTTTTAGTTAGAGAGCTTTTTATATATATATATATATATATATATATATATATATATATATATATATATATATATATATATATATATATATAACAATTCCAGGGCTTCACTTTTTAGTATAAGATAAACAATGAAGCCCTGTATAGTTGCCTGTAATCCAGCACAGAGACAGCCTCTTCTCTGCAGCTCGATCCACTTCCGCTGCTTAAAGGAACACTATAGTCACCCAGACCACTTCAGCTCAATGAAGTGGTCTGGGTGCCAGGTCCCTCAGGTTTTAACCCTGCAGATGCAAACATAGCAGTTTCAAAGAGGCGCATCTGCGACGCTGGAGGCATATTATGTCTCCATCACGCAGAGCATCTATAGGAAAGCATTGAAAAATGCTTTCCTATTGACAGCTTGAACGCACGCGCGGCACTTGCCACGCATGCGCATTCGGCTCCGCTGATGTCAGCGGGGAGGAGAGGTCACCAGCGCCTAGGGAGCCCGGCGCTGGAAAAAGGTTAGCTGCTGAAGGGGTTTTAACCCCTTCAGCCCAGCGGGAGGGGGACCCTGAGGGTGGGGGCACCCTCAGGGCATGATAGTGTCAGGAAAACCGCTTAGTTTTCCTGACACTATAGTGATCCTTTAATGACTATTTTGCCCAATCAATTGCATCTCGTAGAGAAGCATTGAGGACCTAATGCATATGCCTTGCAATTTCTGCAATGCACCAATCATTTGCTTTTCATAGAGAAGTACCGAATCCAATGCTTCTCTATGAGAAGCATAGACTGAACATTCAACATCCTTTGGTTCTGGATGCGGAATCGCCATCTATTGACTGTCAGAGTACCAGCCACTGGAGGTGTGTTAAGCCTCGGCAATGTAAACCTTGTGTTTTACACTGCGGGAGAAAAACCACAGGAGCACTGCATGAAGACCACGTCATTGAGAGTTGATCGAGTTTGCAAGTTATGTCAAGGCAGAAGCATCACTAGCACACAAAATATTGAACAAACCGCACGTTTATAGATGTAAAATTGTGCTGCACACTTATAAGGAAAATTTGGATAGAAGTTTATTTTTGTGCCATCTGTACTCATTTCATATTATTTAACTACTTTAGAAGGTTTAAAAAGTGTTGAACGGGGGCGGAGCCTGGCATCCATGCAGGATAGACGTGTGGTGCTCGAGCTCCCGGGCTTTCAGCACTCTTTGGGGTGATAACCCCGATTAATCGGACGTACCCTGACACTGGGGGACACTACCGGGAAGCCGAGCTCGTGTGATACGCACAGATACCTGAATCTAGCCTGTAACCCTTGGGAGACCTGAGCCACGCTGCTGCGGCCTACTGGGAGAGGGCTGGGGAGAGGCGGCCGATCTCCTCGCCTTGAAAACCCCCATTTGGCTCGGCAGCGATCCAACCCCCCCCCCGGACCGGTGGGGGATATCCCGGTCCATACCGAACACACTGGGGCAACAAGCACGGCGCCAGTCTCCTGCCACAGACTGGCTCCCGGAGGAACGTCTGATACACCAAGCCACAATATGGCGGCTACCTGCTTGCCGACCACGAAGCACTTACAACCCTCCATAGAGAATCAAGGCAGCCTGGAATCTACACTGCAGCGCCTGGATGACATTTTTCAGAGATTCTGGCGGAGGATCCTGGAGCGGGAGCAGACAGTCATGGCTAAGAGGGAAATCTTTCCTAAGAGCACAGAGCAGCCGAGAGGAAACAGGCCTCCCCCGGGCAAAGCACACAAGCCTGCGCCCACTCACTCGTCTGCTCGCCCGCCCGGGCTGAGAACCCCTCAGGGCACAACCCCCACGCTTCAGGCGCCAAAGCGGAGGATCACCCGCCGGCACAGGCGCATAAAACCTAAACCCACTACTCACCCAGAGAGAAGGAAGAGCCTGGCTCCAGCGAACACCAGAGTCAGCATAAAAACAAAGCAGGCACTCATCCAAGCCTGGGGCGGAAACGAAGTCTTGCATCGTTATGCCAACACCGATCACCGGAATGCTCAAGCACAACCCCCACATATGCCACAAGCGGGGATCGGATGAACCAGACGCAGCACAAGCATCGCTCCCAGGGTGGGGACCACAGAGTTGTCTCCTCTTGGACTGGCACTCACAATACCACACTGCCTGCTATTATGTTCTGTAATCATATCATTACTGCTTAGTTTTGTTTTTTTGTTTTTTTTTCTCTCTCCCTCTTTCCCTTATACTTTCCTTCTCCTGCCAATAACACAAGGGCGATGCTAACTATTTAGTGTTTACTGCTCCAATTTTGAGGCACCCCGGAGGCCAGTGGTCCCATACCATCTGACAACCTAGAGCCCACGCCAGAACCCATCATTAGCCTGGTATAACCTTGCTGTCTCACTGCTTTAACCCAGTACCTATAGCATGTCTCACAATCTATGTTACAAACTTTATATACCTACATGTCTTTGAACTTGCATGCATAGAATAGAAGATCTCGCCTAGAATCTCCTCTAGACATGTTCTGCCTAGCCTGTACCTATCACCATAAAAAATGTGTAGTATACTCAAATGCCTTATAACTGTTATGCATTGTTCAGCTCATTATCTTGCCTTTGCTGTTGGGGCACTGCAAGAATGTCTGTCACTCTCATGCACACAAAAATAAAGAATTTAAAAAAAAAAAAAAAGTGTTGAACATTCTTTTTTTATATGGTTAAGAAAGTGAGTTTCAGAGGGATTTGTAATAGGAAAGAGTGAGAGCAAATGGATGGATGGTCACAGTATGAATGTGTAATAACATCTCTCGTTGTTTTTTTGTCTAGGTAAACAGTTAGAAGGAATTTGGTAAGTATAAATCTTTTTTCCCATTTGATAATGATATGTAAAGTGTCCAACATTGGGTTGGAAACATTTTACAGCTTTTAAGTGCCAATACAGCTTGGAATATACTAGCATTTTAGATTCTTTTTATAGATGATGCATAGAAAAAAATATTCTTTGTGTATATATAACTTGACTTGTATTTGTATGTATATTTTGTCCCCCAAAAACTTAGACTAAACTAATTAAAGTAACATTTCAATCATCATAACCACTACCAATTGAACTGTACTGTTAAAGATCCTATTCTTCATTCAGGAAGAGGAATTCAAATATTTTGACTCTATCCCTATATTAGTGAAACTACAATTCACATGATGCTCTGTATGCTTTTAGAATGATAAAGTATCATGGAAGCCGTAGTTTTAAAACATTTGGAGATCTACCTATGGGGCACCTGTGCCCTAAATTGTATATTTAGCTCTGGCCCAATTATCCAAGAAGATTATTTTCCTGAGTAATCTGCTAGGTTAAAGGATCACATGGTCAATAAGGCAGAAATCTCCCTTCCAGACAGCCAAAGTCACTGGGGGTGCTTCCGGAATCCAAATGGATTTTTGGTCCGTTATCTGACACTGGACGTCCTCACGGACCTCCAGCATCAGTTTTTTCCACATAGGAAAGCATTGAATAATGCTTTCCTATGGAGAAGTCTAATGCGCGAGAGTTGGTGGAACCTGGGGGGGTGCTGGATTCAGGTAAGTTGCTGAAGGGATTTGGGGTGGGGCTATTAACCTTATAGTACCAGGAAAACTGCTTTGTTTTCCTCGCACTATAGGATTCCTTTAAGTCAAATAAATGTGTCTTCCAATCGACAAACTAGAGAAAATCAAAAGGGTGACCTGATGCATTTTTTTTTTTTTTTTTTTTTTAAGGGGAATTGTTAAACTAAAAAGCCATGAAAGTTCTTAATTTATTAACAAAACCAAAACAGTCCCTAGGCATATTTAGATAATATATTTTTGTAGTACCAGTGCAGAACCATTAACTTATAAGCTGACCTGCCCAGTCAAACTTATATCAGTATTACTCTACCAATTCCCCTTGCTGATTACAGCAACAAGGCAAGATCGTGGATGATACAGAAAAGAGTATTTTTGTTTCAAATGTTTTTATTCATGGGGTACAAGGTTTCAGTATAAAGGTATTCTAAAAGCCATAAATAAAGATGCAGTCCAAAAATATCATAACCACTGTATATGTTCTAGCATGCAACATACCGGGGAAATTTTACGAAGCTGTGAGAAGAGAGTTGTGTGTGCAAAGGGAATGGCACACATTCTCCACAAATGAATGAAAACTTTGCAGATAAATTAAACTGGTTATTTGTTGGTTTAGAGCAGTGGGTACACATACTCCTGTGTCTCCACTCCGTAAGAAAGTTAGTGATGTAAAAACAAAAATCTATGGAGAAAGCATTGGTGGAGTCCCATTTATAAATCATTTGTTAAGCAGATATGTGTATAGAAACTGCTTATTCGAATAATAAGTATATGTTACGTTGTTACGCATATGGTATACAGTCTATTCATGTTCTATTTGTGTGTGTTGTATGTATGTGTATTTATAATATATCTGGATTTCACAGGCACACCTCCATTATAGTTTTTGAGGAAGAATTTTTCTATGGCGGTGGGGGAATAACAAGTTGTCTGCCGGTAAGTGGCTCATTGGTAAACCTATTCTCCATGACTATCACTCCTTGAAGTCTACATGGAAACAAGCCAAGGCTCCTAAAAATAACACTGATTCAGCTGAATATTTTGAGTTTGTTTAATAAATTTCTTCCTTTTGTTTCCGAAGGAAGTGCATCTTTGTCTACCCTCTCTTTATTTTCAAAATACAGTGTCCTTTACTTTAGCCACCATTACAACTTTGCACGATACACTGTACCTACATGTTCAAATATGAGTAATTATGAAATAGTTTGTTTTTGTTTTTTTAAGAGTAAACTTATTTTAGTTCAGTTAGTTTGTTTCATCGCCATCTATTATCTATTATGGAGATGATGATGGATTTTAAAGACAAATAATGGTCTTCTTAGAAAAACTCCACTAGAGCACAGGACACACAGTCAATGGAAAAAAATAACCTTTATTAAAGAAATGTCATAAATGTTCCCAAAAACAAAAAAATCTGAAAGCTAATGACAAGTCACAGTACTGTGGAACATGCGCAGTGTCCGCTTCATTTGTCCTCTGCCATGTAAATTGTGCATTTTATATTGTTGTTATTTTTGGAAACTTTTCTGGTATTTCTTTATTAAAGGTACCTTATTTGAGCTTATTACCTACCGCCATACAAGTTATTTTCATGGGTCGTGTGTCCGATGGTCTGGTGGATTTAGACGACACACAATCAAATGTTTGGCAACCTCCAATTTCAGAGAGCTAATTTTTTCTCCAAACATATCTGTGATAGGCTGGTAACATCTCCTTTTGTTTGTTAGGGTGGTACACTGCTCGGTGATCCAGATACAGTGGTGGATCTTGGGAACACAGAGGTGACCGAAGATATTTTTTTGGAATACCTGTCCTCTCTGGGAGAATCTGGTTTCAGGTGTGTTTTAGCTTCATGTTTTTTAGCAAATAAGAATAAATGTTTAAAGGGATATTCTAAGTACTTTACCATTGCGCTTTATTGTAGTGGCTATGATGCATTTCCTCCAGGTTTTGTCAAAGTGGTTTGACAAAAAAAACAGAACGCTACCCATTACTTTAAGCTCAGTACTTCAACTGGAGTCGTCAAGGTTTAGTTTCCTCATTCTCCTGCCAAATATTCGTATTTATGCATTGAGAGGCTTTGAACATTGAGATATACAGAAACTCTCAAGTAACGAGTTATTCACCCTGAATTGACAATGGATCTCCCCGTATCAGTTTAGGAAAGCTGAAAGGGTTAATGGTGATTTTCCTGTTCTAATATAGCAACTGACAACACAGTGTGTCTAAAACAACTTACACTAGAATGCTTACAGCCTGAAATATCACTTCAAATGGTTGTTCATATCATGACGTAAATATGGCTAGTAAATTGTAAAATGTAGTTCTGAGCGTAATACCTAGCAAAATATTGTATTGAATAAAAATGAATGCAGTTTAAATTTTGGTAACTTTAGATTGCTGATGAATTTATGTCATACCCTTTGTGTCCACAGTGGGGAGTCCTACCACTTGTTTGATCACAATTGCAACACTTTCTCCAATGAGGTGGCTCAGTTTCTGACAGGGAGAAAAATTCCTTCATACATCACAGAACTACCTTCTGAAGTCCTGTCCACGTAAGTGTCTTCTGTGGTGTACATGTCATGTAATGTAAAATTTACAAAATGAATAATCCTATTTTGCATCATGCAGTTAATAAACCTTTGCTAATTTGAATTTTTATTTGGACTAAAACTAAAAGAAAAAAATGCAAATACTTTGCAAAAACCGAATCTATATATTTTGTAAGCAGAGTTAGCTACTGTCTTCCATAAGTTATTTATATTCTGCCTAAGTCAGAGGCAATAATTTTAGAGCTTTAGTTCCTAAAGGGACACTCCAGGCACCCAGACCACTTCTGCCCATTGGAGTGGTCTGGGTGCCAACCCCCACTACCCTTAACCCTGCAAGTTTAATTATTGCAGTTTTTTCTGAACTGCAATAATTACCTTGCAGGGTTAACTCCACCTATAGTGGCTGTCTACCAGACAGCCACTAGAGGGCACTTCCTGCTCTATAGCACAGAACCTGTGCTAGAGTGTTACTGGACGTCCTCATGCTGTGTGAGGACTTCCAGCATCACTCAGTTCCCCATAGTAAAGCATTGAAAAGCATTAACTATACATTTGCAAACCATGCATTGCCGCGTATGCGCATTAGGTCTCCACGTCCGGTGGGCGGGATCAGTCTCGCCCACCGGCTGACGTAATGACTGGGAGGAGCAGCGGCGAGAAGAAACCACCGCCAAGGTACATCGGTGGGGTCTCAGGTAAGTGACCTGAAGGGGTTTTCACCCCTTCAACAACCAGGGATTGGGAGGTGGGAAGTAGAGGGGACCTGCAGTGCCAGGAAAACGGATTGTTTCCTGGCACTGGAGTTTCTCTTTAAGACCTTAGCTATTTGGCGTAGGCAACCTTCAGCACTACAGATGTTGTGGACTACATCTCCCCTAATGCTTTGCCAGCATTATGTCTGTAAGAGCATTATGGGTGATGTGGTCTAACACCTGGCATGCTGAAGGTTGCATACACCTGATAAGACACAGAAGTACCTTATCAGGAGTATAAGAAATAGAAACAGAAGTAATAACGAATTATTACTGCCTACGGAGTACCATGCTAGAGTATAATTTATTTATTTTTTATTTTATTTTTTGACACCGTCTGCAAGAGTGATAAATTATCATTCATGTAGATCATATTTTATTCACACACCTTAATAACTATATTTTTCTTCTTTTTTTCCTTCCAGACCATTTGGACAAGCCCTCCGTCCTTTCTTGGATTCTGTTCAAATCCAGCCTCCTGGTGGGAACAGTTTCAACAGGCACAATGGACCAAGCTAACTGGAGGAGCACCTCATCAGGCGTGGGCAGTGTCCTACTTTTTAACTTAATACATTTTTTAGTATATGTTTTCACCCATAAGTGTTCATTGTATCATTCATTTAACTATAAATGGGGCCATACTGAAATTGTTGATATTTTTGTATTTAAATCATTTAGAAAGAGTTAATTAATTGTTCTAATGTATAAATCAAATGGTATTATTTTAAACAGTTTGTTAAATACTACAATATAAAATTGTTCTTTTAAGGTTGAAAACTATTTATTTATTTACAGTATACTCTGCTTGGGCCGAGCACAGATAAAGTCTAATGCTCACTTTTGATGCTGTCGCTGAATGATATTTTATAAAGAGCAATTTTAAAACAAAGTTCTAGAATTTGTATAATTGACACGGGAACTGAATAGCATTTTCAGAGGGGTCCCATTTGTTAAAACTATGCGTCTAAAATGCTTTTTATGTATTGTGAACATCAAAAGGACTTTATCGTGACAAATCCATTGTAGGGTTGCAGATTTTACCTATAAATTTTGCCATCCACATGGGCCTGTTTAATAAACTTTTAAAATGATTAAATACTGTTAGAAGAACTTTCCGAAAATGTATCTTCCGAAGTCCCTATTAAAGTCTATGGGGATTTTTGTAAATAAATCATTTGGTAAGTTTTTCTAACAGCGTTGATTCATTTGGAAAACTTATTAAACTTGAGACCATGGTTTGCAAATGTATAGTTAATAGCATTTGATGTGTACTAAAAGGCACACAACACACTAAGTGTGGAAAATTTCCAGACACCGTACCTACAAACATGGCGCCCAGAAAAAGACACATTGCCACAAGTCACACATCATTCATTGTTGGATGCCAAAAGCTTAATTTTCTACAGCTGGTTTATTTTTTTATTTTTTTTATGTTTCCATTTACTGGAGGTTATGCCAGAAAAATACATGTCCTTACTTAAAGCTAATCTGTCATCCACATGATTTTATCTTAAAGTATCATAGTATTATGTAATAATTCTGAACCATACAATCTAAGTTGCTTTTGCCATCAGACACATTTCAGTGTGCTCAAATAAGGCCTTCCAAAGACTTGCAAATATCAACGCAAAGTAGTGTATGCTCCAGTTTGTTGATCTCTGCCCCCAGTGACCTCCATGTTATACAGGTTTTACAAGTGCTATTCTCCATAGACAGAATACTACCTGAATGCTATAGCATTTAAATCATTTTAATATATTAAGTTGTTTTCTGGTGCTGTGGCAGCAATGCCTTTTAGTTAAACCTATCATTTTCCACTTCTTGTGACTATAGATTACAGTTAAAGCCCAAAAGAATATAAAAAAGGAGACATGTATATGATTAAAGGATTAATGCTAGGCAGGGTTTGGCAGTATAAACGTAATGTAGATGATCTTAATTCTATGTTTTGTGAAAATTGGTGTTTTAGCAGATATGGAACAGCAACTTTAACCTTTGACCACGATTTACTCTAATTATAGCATTCCTGTATGAGTTCTTAATCTGCTAACTGCGAATGTGTTTACACATTTGTTTTTGTTTCAAAATGGTGCTCTTCTCTTGGGTATGTTAAAGGTCTAAGACAACTGATTGCTCTCAGCCAATGCGTCAAACCCTCTGACAGTTTCCAGCTCTCCATCATCCGTAGTGGTGGTGGAGCACAGCACTTGGCACATCCCTGGTAAGATGTCAAACCATTCAAAAATGGTTACACTCCTTACAATGGTCACTTCTACAGCAATGCACACTACAGCTTACTGTAGTGATTTATAGTGCTTGTTGTGGTCTGTTAATTGGAATAATTGGATATTATATATATTATTTATATATAATATTGGTTCCATTCAGTGTATTGTGGATACTAGTGTAGCAAATGTGGAAAAACATCTGCAAATTTGGGTTTGGTTATATCCAATATTATGGATCTGTCTCTGTGCTAAACAAAACAGGAAACTTGTCTCATTGTAAACCTCTGCATTTTGACATTTCTGTGCCAGGTCTCACTATGTCTGGAAATTGTCATGTTTGTATTCTTCTTTTACCCGAGTTATTGCCAGAATGACCTGCGTTCGTTTGAAATGTCTTGGGAAAACCTCTCAGCTACAACTCACCAGTTCAAAGTAATGTGAAAGTAAATTACATTGTTAGGAATATTAAGATTTAAAATGGAAACGCAGTATCTTTATCTGAACAAACCACTCATTCCTTATTTTTGTGTAATAGTTCAAGACCTTTACATATAATCATTGATGCAATTCGCATGTGCATTTCAATCAAAAGGCATCATAGAGACCACTGGCAGATGTTAAATGGTGGTTGGCTACATAGAATGTCTTAGAGTGGTTCATAACTTAATGAGTAACAATTAGTATTGGAACCTATCATTTAAAGGAAAACACTACTTATGTTTTATTTAAAATGAGAGATCACATGTATTATAGCCTATGTGTATATTACTTTCCAATGCATGCATATAAGGAACTTATTTCCACTGCATCTCCTGACTTACTCTTGGTCTGTGAAGGCAGCCATCTTTGAGTCTTTTTGGGTCCTAAGTGCCAGTTATTTGACCAAAAACTATGCAGTAATGAAGAGCTTGTGTTTGTTCACAAATCCTAACATGTGCAAGCCCTGGGTATCTAAAAAAATTGGATGGTTTAGGCTTTTTTAGATTGTGCAGGTGCTTAGAAGAAAAATACTGTTTCTGACCAAAGAAGGCTAAAAATGGCCACCCACACAGAGAATGGCTAAATTAGGAGATGGACCAAATGTGCATTTAAATAATACACAAGAAGGAACATTTTTATTTATTTTCTCATTAATAAAATTACAAGGTTATTTTTTTAAGTGGATAAAGGTCTGTTGGTATTATGTCAACAATTGTTGTACATGTTGTTATTCATAAAATAAGAGTACATTTGTATGTGTGTGTGTGTTGGCAGGTGTTTACTTTAAGATTATGAATTACCAGTTTGACAAATGATAAACCTTTCCCTAATCTGCAGTACCGCTTTACTGGAGTTCATCTTTTGTTTTTAACAGCCCTGCACAATCCGTCCCCAGAAGGGTTTACCTCTTTTCTACTACAATGGAACGACGGCTTGGGGTTCTACATATGTAGCGTTACTTTGTGTTAGGAAGCATACCATATGCACAGATTGTTGGCTTAGTACATAATACTCAAAGATCTTCATTCATTTAATAGTGGGTTCCTATACTAATTTAGCAGTTATACGCCTGCTTGATACTCTTGTATTGAATACAGATATTGTTGTCCCTGTTATCATTTATATTATTATATAACAATGATTAACAACAATTTATTTTTAGTAGGTGTGGAGATGCTAATTCTAATTTTTTTTGAATAGATATTTACTACACATCATTAGCTTTCCATCATTGACTGTATTGACATCAGAACCTTAAACTTATAATAAAGATGGTTTCATAACACTAAACTGTGCATTTGTATTTTTCCTTTGTTCAAGTTTAAACATGCACCTTTTATGGACTGTACCAGAAAGGGTAGGAGCAGATTTGGTTTTCTTGTAGTGCTGGATCATTTAGACAAATGGGGTGTTGATACACGTATAGTTCTTATATTTACATACTTTGTGATTTATTGTTAATTGATGTCATGTTTCTCATGATGACATAGGGTGTGAAACTATAATAAAATATTACTAAACTTTTATCATCTTATGAATTTATGAACTTCCAAATGTAGAAACCATAAGTGGTGTTTACAATACATTGATCTTTGTCCCAATTTTTATTCAGTGTCAAAATCCCATGTAGTTATGTACAAAATATGCAAAAATATAATTTGTGAATGTTGCTATTAAAAAGTAATGACAATTTGGGAGTGGAACACTACTTTTTATAGTCAGGGGTAATGACCCTTTCTAGGTACCAAATGAACTATAAAAATCAATTTTGAATACAAAATTGCCTACATTAAGTTATACTTTGCAGTACTTAAAAAGTAACCATTTTACATTGTATAAAGTAAATATATATAACACTAATAAATCCACAAATGTGTTCTTTTATATTCCATAGGGTCCCTATAAATTGGTTATAGAGCAATATAATGTACGTAAAACAAATATAATATTTGAAAAGAATAGAACCTAATAAGCTGAAGAGTAGAAAAACATACCTGTCAAATATTACTTAAAATGATAGCTAGCATATCATAGTTATATAGTTCCATAGCTGAAAAGAGACTTGCGTCCATCAAGTTCAGCCTTCCTCACATATGTTTTTGCTGTTGATCCAAAAGAAGGCAAAAAACCCAGTCTGAAGCGCTTCCAATTTTGCAACAAACTAGGAAAAAAAATCCTTCTTGACCCCAAAATAACAGTCAGATGTCTCCTAGGATCAAGCAGCTATTACCCCACTAATTAGAAATTATATCCCTGTATGTTATGTTTTTGCAAGTATTTATCCAATTGCTGTTTAAACATCTGTAGGGACTCTGATAAAACCCACCTCTTCAGGCAGAGAATCACATATCCTTATAGTTCTTACTGTAAAAAAAAAAAACAACCTTTCCTTTGCCTTAGATGAAATCGCCTTTCTTCCAGCCTAAATGCATGACCTCGTGTCCTATGTATAGCCCTGTTTATGAATAGATTTCAAGATAAAGGTTTGTACTGGCCCCAAATATATTTGTATAATGTTATCATATCCTCTCTGAGGCGCCATTTTTCCAAACTAAAGAGATTTACATTTTTTTAACCTTTCTTTGTAACTAAAATGCTCCATTCCTTTTATCAATTTTGTAGCTCATCTCTGCACTTCTTCTAGTGCCATGATATCCTTCTTTAGAACAGGTGCCCAAAATTGCACAGCATATTCAAGGTGTGGTTTTACCAGCGATTTATAAAGAGGCAAAATTATATTTTCATCCAGATAATTTATGCCCCTATTTATACATGACAAGACCTTACTGGCATTAGCAACTGCAGATTGACATTGAATATTGCTGCCTAATTTGTTGTCTATAACAATTCCCAAATCCTTCTTGTGTGTGGTTATCCCCAATTCACTACCATTTCGGGTGCATAACTTTGAATTTCTCTACATTTAATTTCATGTGCCATTTTAGTGCCCAGTCCCCCAATCGATCCTTCTGCAGCAAAGCAATATCCTGTTCACATTTCATCTGCAAACACTGATACATGGCTTTCAATGTCTATTTCAAGATAATTTATAAATATGTTAAATAGTCCCGAAACAGAACCCTGAGGGACAGCACTTACCACTTTTGTCCAGGTTGAAAATTTACCATTAATGACAACTCTTAGTCTATCCTTAAGCCAATGTTCTACCCAAGAACAAGAATATTAATCTAGATTTATTTTAGTTTGAAGACTAACCTATTGTGAGGAACCATATCAAATGTCTTGGCAAAATCTCCTCCTCTCATATTTCCTGTTGTTCTTGGTATGTATCTTTTTGTTCATCTGTATATACAGGTATCTAATTACTGTTGCTCTGAAATAGTGGTTATACCACTTTAATTGGATCATTTTTTGATCAATACTGTTTTTTTTCCCCTATTTTGACTTTATCTGCAATTATTGTTTGCATATTGGATAGAGATGTTTTAACAATTCTGTAACAGCTACCCAGGGTAGAGAGGGGTCTCTGCCGTTGGTGACGTCCTTCCTCCGGGCAAGATGCTGGGCTGTAGGGGAGAGGTGAAGTCCCATCCGCTGGATCCCTGGAGCAATAGAGAGGCAGAGCTCTGAAAATAGCTAGTGATTAAGCTGCAAATTCCCTTTCAACAATGAGACACAGCTACATTTTGAAGGGTGAAGAAGAACTAACTCTACTGAGCGTTTATTGTTGCTTTTATGCAGGATTTTACAGGTTAGAAACCACCCACTGGACCTTGTGGGGCACCGACAATACAGTTACAGCAATCAATCATACACAAGATTACAATAGAGCACACCCAGCAGTTACAGTGAATTCCTCCCCTCGGCTTAGGAGATAATTGAGTTAATTAACTGTATCTACTCAATTATCTCCAAGCTGAAAAGTTACATTTAAAAAAAATATATATTTATTTTCATAACTTCTTGATTTTATATTGTACATGCAAAAAACTTATATTTTTATAACCAGTATAACATGGGGACAAACATATCCAAAATTCGTGAAAATCCATTCAGGGGTTCCAGAGATAGTAAAAAGTCCCTTTGGACCGGTCTATTTTACCCTGAAAAAATGAATCTTCGAACGGGACTTAGTCTCCAGCTGCAGTGTTGGCGGGGAGTAGAAGGTACAGGTCAGCGGTGTTCGCGCAATTGGGTAGCCGAAAATAGTTCCATAGATTTGCCGGCACACACGGTTGACCGGGTTCGAATGAATCAAAATGGCTGCCGCCACGTGTTCGATTTTCGAATGGTGGCCACTTCGACTACTTCTGCACTTCGGCTGCATTATACTGGTTAACTGGGGGTTTTTGTTACACGTTTTGTTACAATTTCCAATTCTTTAATATCTATGCTGATACCTGTTATACATGTGTTTTTTGTGTAATAAAGCTTTTTTGTATTTTACTCAGTTGTGCTCCTCCTCTTAGTATTATATGATTATATGTATAGCCTCTTGGAAATGAGGCTTTTGGAGTGAGCACCTTGATTTTCATTAATTTTTCTTATCTAATGGTGACGACTATTTTAATGGGTGTGCCCACCTGTGCTTTGTTAAATCCAAGTAGATAACATCCACTGCAACACCCTGATCTATACTTCTACTAACTTCTTCATGGAATGCAATCAGGTTAGTTTGGCATGACCTATGTTTCATAAAAGTATGCTGATTATGGCTAATAACAAAGTTCTTCCCAATGAATTCCTGAATATTATCCCTTAATAGCCCTTCAAATGTTTCCCCGGTAACAAAAGTTAAGCTCATGGGTCTATAATTTCCAGGCAATTATTTTGAACCATTTTTAAAGGGACCCTATAGTCACCTGAACAACTTTAGCTTAATGAAGCAGTTTTGGTGTATAGAACATGCCCCTGCAGCCTCACTGCTCAATCCTCTGCCATTTAGGAGTTAAATCCCTTTGTTTATGAACCCTAGTCACACCTCCCTGCATGTGACTTGCACAGCCTTCCATAAACACTTCCTGTAAAGAGAGCCCTATTTAGGCTTTCTTTATTGCAAGTTCTGTTTAATTAAGATTTTCTTATCCCCTGCTATGTTAATAGCTTGCTAGACCCTGCAAGAGCCTCCTGTATGTGATTAAAGTTCAATTTAGAGATTGAGATACAATTATTTAAGGTAAATTACATCTGTTTGAAAGTGAATCCAGTTTTTTACTTTTCATGCAGGCTCTGTCAATCATAGCTAGGGGAGGTGTGGCTAGGGCTGCATAAACAGAAACAAAGTCATTTAACTCCTAAATGACAGTGAATTGAGCAGTGAAATTGCAGGAGAATGATCTATACACTAAAACTGCTTTATTTAGCAAAAGTAATTTAGGTGACTATAGTGTTCCTTTAAATATAGGAACAACATCTGCCTTCCTCCAATCCTCCGGTACAATACCTGAAACAAAAGAATCTTGAAAGATTAAATACAGAGGTTCGCTTATTTCCCCATTTAGCTCCTTAAGCACTCGTGGGTGAATACATCAGGCCCTGGAGCTTTATTTACATGAATTTTCTTTACCTGTTGTAGCACCTTGTCTCGAGTCATCCAATCACAAGTTATCTGCAAGTTTTTTGCAGCAATCATTTGCATATCTCTTGCCATGGGATCCTCATTAATATATACTAAAGAAAAATAGTTATTCAAAATTTCTGCTTTATCCTGGTCTTCATTATCGAACAGACCCATTAACTAACAGACTTCATTAACTAACAGACAGGGAGAATATATGGAGAAAGGGACAGTATGCTGGGGAGGAGGGAATGTGAAGAAATTTGAAGGTTTGTGTATGGGGTTATTAAAAAATGGAGGAGAATATTAAAAGTTTGAATTTGTGGGTCGTAGAATATAAGAGGTAACAGATGAGAGCAGAATCTGAGGGAAAAAAACAGAAGTAGGAGTGGGAAACGTTGAAGAAACCTGAAGGTGTTTGTGGTTGGGGAGGTATTAGAAAAGGGACAAAATGTGAATGGGAGAATATGGAGAAAATTAAATGTGTGTGTGGAGGGGATATGAGAAAAGGGGCAGAAGTTGGGGGATATAAAGAAAGTGGAAGTTGTGTCTTTAGTGAAAAGTACGGTAACAAGATAAACATATTGCCTATATGCTGTTGTGTGTCTGATTATAATAGAGAAGTGTGGGGGGATATGAGAAAGGGGACACAAAGTGGGGAGAATATAGAAAAGTAAAGGTTTGAGGGCAGATTATGTGAAAAATAACAAAAAGTGTTAGGGTGAATCTGGAGAAATTTGAAAGAGTGTAAGGTAATATTAGAAAAAAGATGGAATTTAAGGGGGAGGGTTGGCATAAAGCAGAATGTGTGGGGGCAGAATATGAGTAGAGGGAGAGAACTTGGTGGTAAAATATATACAGAAGGACAGAAAGTGGGGGAGAGAATCTGGACAAAAGGCACTAGGGGAGCATGGAAAGAGGAACACTACTAGATGAAGGGACAATATAGGAAAATGTTCACTAGTACAGAGTAAT